CTAAATGTGGGCCAGCAAGTCTGTTGTCATGGCCAAGGGCCCGATCCATGTTATCCTGTACTTTTCTGTTTCACAGAGGGCAATTTGAGCTTATAGACTTTCAAATTACAAACCAGCTGGATGTTGTTAATACCTAGAAAGCACCATTTTATAACCTGCAGTTGATATACACACAAGCATTAACTTGTCATAGGGAGACTTGTGAGAGGAATCCCATTATTGATACAATGCCTCTGTATTAGCCATGATGTTTTCAGTTATGTTAGAACATTGCGTAACTGGGCATCTGGAATGTGTGATGTGCGTTAAGTCCTGGAGTGCTTCCTTCATAAAAGCATTCCACACCTCAACCGTTACAAATCAAAAGTCCAATGCTATTATAAACTCAAATCCATATTTTCTAGAATACGTTTTCTTTTTCATTTCAGGGAATAATGATTACATTGCTGTTTTCATCCAGAATGTTCCACTGCTATTTGTTGACAAGTCCATGCTCAACACCTACCGTTCATTTCCTGACCTTTGACCCTAGAGCACCACTGCTTTTAGGGAACTACTGAATGGATGTTTTGCAAAGTTCAACAGCTTGATGACCTGTACAAAATGTAATTGCTTAAAGTATTTTCTGTAAAGAAAGAATTACATTTTTTTCTTTGGTGTGAAAGGGAGAAAATGTTTGTGGGGGGTTTTCAACACATTTAAATATCCATGGGGCAAATGGTTCATTTGTACAACATCAACGGAAAACATCACAATATCAGGACAAAGAAGTTGCATGAATTACATAGTCCCTATTATGATACTGCTCTGCATGTTTTGAAGTCTCATCCCGCCACTATACAATCACTGTACAATAATGGGGTGACACACTTACGTACATGGAAAAGGTGAATGTATAAAACAGATCCAACTTAAAATCATTGACTCTGTACAGTCGTTTCTTTGAATTGATAAATACAAATTGTGATATTGAAAAAAACACTGTGTTGTTAATTTTGATTGCATGTGAAGTTCAGTGCCAATGTCTTGTCAAGTGGCTCTACAAATATATGCAGGCCAAAGGGCCATGTTGGACCAATACTAATTCCAGTTACATTCACTCTTCTTTGCATATTTAGAAAAATATGTAAAGTATTTACTGTATTTGATACAACATGTTTTAGTATTAACACAGCTCATGCAGAAAACCATACATTTGTGTATCACTGCTGCTACAGCTAGGGACAAAATAGCAGCAAGTCCACATAACATTATTGAAGCTAACAACTACAGACCTTCAAACATCTTATCTGTTCACACAGTTTTATATGTATTGAATGAATAATGCTTTGATTAATTGTGATAATGGTTTACAGACATGCTGAACAATGTACCTAGCAACTTGGAGCCCAGTTGTGAGGAGAACTTTCTGCTTCTACTTTCTGTCTGTTATGTCACTGTCACCTCCACCCTGAGTAGATACACTATATATACAAAAATATGTGGACACCCCTTCAAATTAGTGGATTCTGCTATTTCAGCCCCACCGGTTGCTGACAGGTGTATAAAATCGAGGGCACAGCCATGCAATCTCCATAGACAAACATTGGCAGTAGAATGGCCTTACTGAAGAGCTCAGTGACTTTCAACGTGGCACTGTCATAGGATGCCACCTTTCCAACAAGTCAGTTCGTCAAATTTCTGCCCTACTAGAGCTGCCCCTGTCAACTGTAAGTGCTGTTATTGTGAAGTGGAAATTTCTAGGAGCAACACTGGAGCATCGAAGTGGTAGGCCACACAAGCTCACAGAATGGGAATGTCGAGTGCTGAAGTGCATTGCGCGTAAAAATCGTCTGTCCTCGGTTGCAACACTCACTACCAAGTTCCAAATTGCCTCTGGAAGCAACGTCTGCACAAGAACTGTTCGTCGGGAGCTTCATGAAATGGGTTTCCATGGCCGAGCAGCCGCACACAAGCCTAAGATCACCATTCACAATGCCAAACATCGGCTGGAGTGGTGTAAAGCTCGCCGCCATTGTCCTCTGGAGCAGTGAAAACACGTTCTCTGTAGTGATGAATTACACTCCACCATCTGGCAGTCCAACGGACAAATCTGTGTTTGGCGGATGCCAGGAGAATACCACCTGCCTCAATGCATAGTGCCAACTGTAAAGTTTGGTGTAGGAGGAATAATGGTCTGGGGCTGTTTTTCATGGTTCGGGCTAGGCCCCTTAGTTCCAGTGAAGGGAAATCTGAACTCTACAGCATACAATGACATACTAGTTGATTCTGTGCTTCCAGCTTTGTGGCACCAGTTTGGGGAAGGCCCTTTCCTGTTTCAGCATGACAATGCCCCCGTGCACAAAGCCAGGTCCATACAGAAATGGTTTGTCGAGATTGGTGTGGAAGAAATTGACTGGCCTGCGCAGAGCCCTGACCTCAAACCCCATCGAACACCTTTGGGATCAATTGGAACGCCGACTGCGAGCCAGGCCTAATCGCCCACATCAGTACCCTACCTCATTAATGCTTTTGTGGCTGAATGGAAGCAAGTCCCCGCAGCAATGTTCCAACATCTAGTGGAAAGCCTTACCAGAAGAGTGGAGGCTGTTATAGCAGCAAAGGGGGACCAACTCCATATTAATGCCCATGATTTTGGAATGAGATGTTAGACGAGCAGGTGTCCACATACTTTTGGTATTGTAGTGTATATACTGACCAGATCATATGCATCATGTCAAACGTTGATTGTAGCCCACAGTGAAAACAGTGATTGGGTAAACTGCGCCTGTACCTTGCACCCCAGAACACCTGGTGGCGTCGTGGCAATGACGATTTGGTTGTTGTCGACTGTCAGAAGAAGAAGGAGGTTCTGTTTCAGGAAGTTGTAGCAGGAACAATTATATGGCTAACGTTGTCGTTGGCTAAATACTTTTTGTGATGGATTAACTCACATATTTACTTTGTGGGCAAAGCATGAAGATTCCCACAGTTTAAAATATGGCAAGGACCGGAGACATTATCCATCTAAACGTTGGAGGAAAAAGGTGAGGACTGGGATTACTATGAATAGCTAGCTACCGGCAGCTAGCTATTGTTGGTGGGTGGATGCTAACTAACTATCTAACAGTTGTTGGCTGGCTAACTAGATAGCCAGATATTTTGAGTAAGAAAATACCGTTAGTAACATTGTCCTAAGTTAGCAAACTAACTACTGATAGTTAGATATTTTTCCAGCTAAACTATCTTTCTCTGACAGTAACGTTAGCTACTGACGTTACAGTGTAGCTGGAACGTGCAAAGCTAGCTAGCTAAGGTAATATTAGCTTGCTAGCTTCTTAATGGTTTTGAACTTGATCAAACTTGAGGCAGTGTGAATGCTCATTTGAGTGATCATGTTGTTTCAGGTTCAGCACCTCCAGACAGACATTGACATGGGTCCCAGACTCCTTTTTCTCAAGGTAGGTAACTATCTATTTATTTTGAGACATAGGCCAATGCCTTTATTAAAGTCACAAGTGTCTTCATAATGACTCTCCAACTCATTAATTACCCAGCCATAGTGATGGCATATGGTCATTTGCTGTAGCATCACTCAGTAAGGTCTAACTAGTGAGTTGTGTTGTCTCTGCCAGTCTTCTAAGTGGGAGGATCTCAACCTTGAAGGATGAAACTGGAGCGGTAAGTTGTCTGAAATCGATGGAACAACCTAGGCAATGTGTATATAAACCTATTTGATATTGGCAACCACTTAGGGCTACTTGTAACATATTTGTAATGTGCTGCTGATCTTTATCTCCCACAGATCTTCATAGATCGGGACCCATCGCTCTTTACTCCCATACTGAACTTCCTGCGTACCAAAGAGTTGTTTCCCAGGTGCTGATTCCTTTGTTTACATTTGTTTACATTTAATACGTTTAAAAAATGGTATATATTCAGCCTTGATGGCATGTTGTCTTCAACATTTGATTTCTTAACCTTTCATTTTAGGTCCATAAATGTGCACCTGCTCATGCATGAAGCTGAGTTCTATGGAATCACTCCGTTGGGTACGAAAGTAGCCAGTAGCTAGTCAAATACAGCTGTGAATGAGAGGCTGTCTTTCTATGTATTAGTGTCTGCACCTTGATTACATTTTTTCCTCTTCCTCAGTGCGTAAGCTGCAGCTTTGTGATGAGCTGGACCGATCCTCCTGTGGAAACGTGCTCTTCAATGGTTATCTCCCACCTCCAGGTAGGCTGATCTACTCTAGATTTGACTTCACTTCAAGGACAGGCAAGTTGTGTGTTAAGTTTGATGTCCTTATCGTCTCCTCTTGTTGACCAGTGTACCCTGCGAAGCGGAGGAACCGTCACAGTGTGGCGGGGCCTCAGTATATGGGTGGCTGTGCCTTGCCCATGGAGAGAGCTCCAGTGAGACGCAGCAACACCATGCCACCCAACCTGGGCAACGCGGGCATGCTGGGTAAAGCAACGATGGAGGAGAGGATCAGTGGTGGTAAGGCTTTATCTTGGCCAGGTCGCAGTTGTAAATGAGAACTTGTTCTCAGCTGGCTTACCTGGTTAAATAAAGGTTAAATAAAATAAAAAATAAATTAAAAAAAGGCCTTGGAATCAAATCAAATTACATTTTATTTGTCAGATACACATTTAACAGCAGGTATAAAAGGTGCAGCAAAATGCTTGTGTGCTAGCTCCCTCAACAGTGCAGTACAATAATACATAATAGAAGAGGTAGTATGCATTAGGGATGTGACAAATAGAAAATGTTTCTTAAAGTTTCAACTGCCATTTTTAAAATCGGTTTTCCGTTAAAACTCTGTGTTGTTTTTATTGCACTGCTTTGCTTTATCTTGGCCAGGGCGCAGTTGTAAATGAGAACCTGTTCTCAACTGGCTTACCTGGTTAAATAAAGGTGAAATAAAAAAAAATAAACGATAAGAAAAAATCATAAAATTCCACATCAATTCACAATGGTGCTATTACGTATGTATGACCGCTAGGGCTGGTCAATGAAGTTATATCTACCCTCGAAAGCGCCTCGGCTATGGCATGTTTGTTTGTCTGGGTACACTACAGCTTTTTAAACGCCGACACGAAACCTCTGGAGATAGTTTTGAAGCGCTGCTGAACGGGCATTTTACTTGTCTGTAAAGGAATGCCGCTTCCCAGAACTGTCAATCAAATAATCTCGAGCTGCCTGCGCACAGTCTGCCTGCCTGCTGCCTAAGTTTGTTCAATACCGTGACTTACCAAGACATTTAGTAGAAAGAAAACACTTTTTCTTCTAGGAATCTACTCCTAAGATTCAGTATTTTTGGAACGGAGTAGTTAATTATTAAGCTACATTAATTCAATCTTTCGTTCATTTAGACCATATGCAGGCCATATATAGTTTAAAACCTGTGCGGCTGGTAAAAGTTTGAGTAGCCAATAGCCTACTAAATGAATAAAGGCTGTTTTGGCAGTCTAGCCTATTTGATTCTAGGAATAGTTTATTTAAGTTTAAATTAAACTATTTGGTTATCTAAACAATATTGAATGTAAGGGTGTTTTGTTATGTCGGCTATAGGCTTTCATTAGGTAATTAGAAGGCTCTTTTTCAAAGCAATTTGAGTTGCCAATGTGTTGCATTGTGAAAATAAGAACAGAGGCCTATCGTTCTTAATTCATGGTTTCCTTTTATCCAAATGGTGACTAGCGATGCAGACAAATTCATTCATGCAGGGAAGGCGAATAGCCTAGTGGCCTCCTACTCTGGAGTCATAAAAACAATTCAATAAATGTGTTATTTGGCGGGACACGAATCGTCTCTCTTAATAATTCTATGTGGGTGGGTCGGGTTGCAGAAAAAAAATCTGTCCTGATGTCGGATACTGTCCTGATGTCTGTCCTGATTGTCTACCTGGACACTGTCTCCAAACGCTGACTTTGTAAAACGTTTCTGTCCAAAAACCTGCTAGTCAATATCCCCTTTGTTGGTATGTTTTTTTGCATTTCATGTCCTGGATTAAATAAATCCCTTTAACCCTTTACAATCGGCCCTATATTGGATAGGGATACGTTGGAATGTTTCTTTTACGGAAGAAATATGGAAAAGCATATGCATAAACATGGTTAGCAATCAGTCCCTACACCCAAACGAGGGCGTCGCGTTCATCCACCTCTGGCCTGCTGGCTCCCCTTCCTCTGGCCTGTTGGCTCCCCCTCCTCTGGCCTGCTGGCTCCCCTTCCTCTGGCCTGCTGGCTCCCCTTCCTCTGGCCTGCTGGCTCCCCTTCCTCTGGCCTGCTGGCTCCCCTTCCTCTGGCCTGCTGGCTCCCCTTCCTCTGGCCATGCTGGCTCCCCTTCCTCTGGCATGCTGGCTCCCCTTCCTCTGGCCTGCTGGCTCCCTTCCTCTGGCCTGCTGGCTCCTCTGGCCTGCTGGCTCCCTTTCCTCTGGCCTGCTGGCTCCCCTTCCTCTGGCCTACTGGCTCCCCTTCCTCTGGCCTACTGGCTCCCCTTCCTCTGGCCTACTAGCTCCCCTTCCTCTGGCCTGCTGGCTCCCCTTCCTCTGGCCTGCTGGCTCCCCTTCCTCTGGCCTGCTGGCTCCCCTTCCTCTGGCCTGCTGGCTCCCCTTCCTCTGCGGAAGCACAGTTCCCGCTCAGCCCAGTCAAAGCTGTTCGCTGCTCTGGCACCCCAATGGTGGAACAAGCTCCCCCCACGACGCCAGGACAGCGGAGTCACTCGCCACCTTGCGGAGACATTTGAAACCCCACCTCTTTAAGGAATACCTGGGATAGGATAAAGTAATCCTTCTACCCCCCCCCCCCCCCCAAAAAAAATACAATAATAATAATAACTTTGTAAAGTGGTTGTCCCACTGGCTATAAGGTGAATGCACCTATTTGTAAGTCGCTCTGGATAAGAGCGTCTGCTAAATGACGTAAATGTAATGTAAATGGATATTGGGTGGGGCTCGGAATTGATGTGGCCGGCGCGGGGCGAGTGTGGCTCCAAAAAACGGACCCGTGCAGGACTGTGTTTGTGTGTGTAAGTTTGTGTAAGTGGTTGGATGTGTGGGGAGTCAGCGCAAACAGTCTTTAAGGTGCAGATATTCTCAAGGTGCAAATAGTCTCAAGGTGCAGGTCTGTGCAGGGAGACAGCTAGGGTTAGAGTGAACCGTCCGTGGCTCGGGTGACTCGAGTCCTTGACGATCTTTCGGCCAGTGTTTTTACATTGTATTTAGCTTCAGTATTCCTATCAATATGTCTTGTCTGGTTGCACTGTATTGAAAGTAAAAGTTCTAACCTGGACCCGTCCTCTGTAGCTCAGCTGGTAGAGCACGGCGCTTGTAACGCCAAGGTAGTGGGTTCGATCCCCGGGACCACCCATACACAAAAATGTATGCACGCATGACTGTAAGTCGCTTTGGATAAAAGCGTCTGCTAAATGGCATATTATAATTTTATTTTTAAGGGAATATTATCAACAAGTGGATTCACCTTCACCGTTACATCTCATATTGCTCAAATAAACAGCAAACCTGGTTTAAAAAAACAGATGAAGCAACACCTCACGGCACAACGCCTCTCCCCTATTTGACCTAGATAGTTTGTGTGTATGTATTGATATGTAGGCTACGTGTGCTTTCAAAAAAAAAAAAAATGTAGTTCTTGTCTATTAATGTTCTGTATTATGTCATGTTTTGTGTGGACCCAAGGAAGAGTAGCTGCTGCTTTTGCAACAGCTATGGGGATCCTAATAAAATACCAAATACCTGTTCATCTTTCCCTTACTACACAGCTCAGGTTGCAGACCCAGGCATGGTCCGCATCATATGTGGCCACCACAACTGGATCGCTGTGGCTTATGCACAATTTGTTGTTTGCTACAGGTAAGGACACAGGACTTCCATGCATGATGTCACAGTGTCATATGAATCAGTCATTTGGTAAGGACCAAAGAGGGTATTAACTGTGCTGTCCTCTTCCATCAGAGTGAAGGAGTCTACGGGCTGGCAGCAGGTGTTCACCAGTCCCCGTCTGGACTGGTGATTGACAGGGTGGCGCTCAACGCCAAGGTGATGGGCGGCTCCCTGGGAGACAACGACAAGATGGTGGCCGTGGCCTCGGGCACAGAGATCATCCTCTGGACTATCTGTCCTGACGGCAACGGCAACGAGATAGGTCAGTCTGCAAACGAATGAACGCACGGTGTTAAAACAAATATAGCTATGATATCATTTTTTATCGCTCAAAATATTGACTATTGACTTGTCGTTAGTATTTTAAGAGACCACTTTAAAGGTAGTTGTGGGGGCTTATGTAAGGGCCGTGCTAATAGTCTCCATTGTACCTGCTTCCTTCCAGGGGTGTTCAGTCTGAATGTCCCCGTGGAGGCTCTCTTCTTTGTGGGGAACCAGCTTATTGCCACCAGCCACACAGGGAAAGTGGGAGTATGGAATGCAGTGACCAAACATTGGCAGGTAAAGTTGTATCCATGCATTCTATAAGAATGTCATGTCAATAGAACGTATATATTATGTGTAGTAATAATATATGTGGTTGTGTGTGGCTCAGTTGCAACGCCATGATTGTGGGTTCGATTCCCCGGGGCCACCATATGTAAAATGTGTGCACACATGACTGTAAGTGGCGTTGGCTAAATAGCATATATTAAATGTGTGTTGTACATCAGTTGTTCATGTTTTCCATTTCTCTTTCCCTTCTCAGAATCAAGATGTGGTTCCCATTAATAGCTATGATACTGCCGCTTCCTTCCTCATTCTAGGCTGTAACAATGGGTCCATATATTATATAGGTAAGGAAAGTCATCTTTTCTACATATGATGCAATAATGGAAAACTATTAAAATCGTTTTTTCTGTATAGCAGAAATGCTGTCAAGGTGTTTTTCTAATACATCATTCAGTATAATATTAATTAAACACTTGCAAAATATAGACCTCTCATTGATGTGTTCTTGTCAACAGATGTTCAGAAGTTTCCATTGAGGATGAAGGACAATGACCTCCTAGTGACAGAGTTTATACCGCGACCCCACGGAGGACGCCATCACTGCTCTCAGTGTCTACCTCACACCCAAAACAAGTATGTCTGCCCGTTTCGATTTTTACCTTCACTGAAATTAAATATCTTTTTCTGGCATATTTTTTAAGGCCTCAGATATGGGTGGCTGTGCCTTGCCCATGGAGAGAGCTCCAGTGAGACGCAGCAACACCATGCCACCCAACCTGGGCAACGCGGGCATGCTGGGTAAAGCAACGATGGAGGAGAGGATCAGTGGTGGTAAGGCTTTATCTTGGCCAGGTCGCAGTTGTAAATGAGAACTTGTTCTCAGCTGGCTTACCTGGTTAAATAAAGGTTAAATAAAATAAAAAATAAATTAAAAAAAGGCCTTGGAATCAAATCAAATTACATTTTATTTGTCAGATACACATTTAACAGCAGGTATAAAAGGTGCAGCAAAATGCTTGTGTGCTAGCTCCCTCAACAGTGCAGTACAATAATACATAATAGAAGAGGTAGTATGCATTAGGGATGTGACAAATAGAAAATGTTTCTTAAAGTTTCAACTGCCATTTTTAAAATCGGTTTTCCGTTAAAACTCTGTGTTGTTTTTATTGCACTGCTTTGCTTTATCTTGGCCAGGGCGCAGTTGTAAATGAGAACCTGTTCTCAACTGGCTTACCTGGTTAAATAAAGGTGAAATAAAAAAAAATAAACGATAAGAAAAAATCATAAAATTCCACATCAATTCACAATGGTGCTATTACGTATGTATGACCGCTAGGGCTGGTCAATGAAGTTATATCTACCCTCGAAAGCGCCTCGGCTATGGCATGTTTGTTTGTCTGGGTACACTACAGCTTTTTAAACGCCGACACGAAACCTCTGGAGATAGTTTTGAAGCGCTGCTGAACGGGCATTTTACTTGTCTGTAAAGGAATGCCGCTTCCCAGAACTGTCAATCAAATAATCTCGAGCTGCCTGCGCACAGTCTGCCTGCCTGCTGCCTAAGTTTGTTCAATACCGTGACTTACCAAGACATTTAGTAGAAAGAAAACACTTTTTCTTCTAGGAATCTACTCCTAAGATTCAGTATTTTTGGAACGGAGTAGTTAATTATTAAGCTACATTAATTCAATCTTTCGTTCATTTAGACCATATGCAGGCCATATATAGTTTAAACCTGTGCGGCTGGTAAAAGTTTGAGTAGCCAATAGCCTACTAAATGAATAAAGGCTGTTTTGGCAGTCTAGCCTATTTGATTCTAGGAATAGTTTATTTAAGTTTAAATTAAACTATTTGGTTATCTAAACAATATTGAATGTAAGGGTGTTTTGTTATGTCGGCTATAGGCTTTCATTAGGTAATTAGAAGGCTCTTTTTCAAAGCAATTTGAGTTGCCAATGTGTTGCATTGTGAAAATAAGAACAGAGGCCTATCGTTCTTAATTCATGGTTTCCTTTTATCCAAATGGTGACTAGCGATGCAGACAAATTCATTCATGCAGGGAAGGCGAATAGCCTAGTGGCCTCCTACTCTGGAGTCATAAAAACAATTCAATAAATGTGTTATTTGGCGGGACACGAATCGTCTCTCTTAATAATTCTATGTGGGTGGGTCGGGTTGCAGAAAAAAATCTGTCCTGATGTCGGATACTGTCCTGATGTCTGTCCTGATTGTCTACCTGGACACTGTCTCCAAACGCTGACTTTGTAAAACGTTTCTGTCCAAAAACCTGCTAGTCAATATCCCCTTTGTTGGTATGTTTTTTTGCATTTCATGTCCTGGATTAAATAAATCCCTTTAACCCTTTACAATCGGCCCTATATTGGATAGGGATACGTTGGAATGTTTCTTTTACAGAAGAAATATGGAAAAGCATATGCATAAACATGGTTAGCAATCAGTCCCTACACCCAAACGAGGGCGTCGCGTTCATCCACCTCTGGCCTGCTGGCTCCCCTTCCTCTGGCCTGTTGGCTCCCCCTCCTCTGGCCTGCTGGCTCCCCTTCCTCTGGCCTGCTGGCTCCCCTTCCTCTGGCCTGCTGGCTCCCCTTCCTCTGGCCTGCTGGCTCCCCTTCCTCTGGCCTGCTGGCTCCCCTTCCTCTGGCCTGCTGGCTCCCCTTCCTCTGGCATGCTGGCTCCCCTTCCTCTGGCCTGCTGGCTCCCCTTCCTCTGGCCTGCTGGCTCCTCTGGCCTGCTGGCTCCCTTTCCTCTGGCCTGCTGGCTCCCCTTCCTCTGGCCTACTGGCTCCCCTTCCTCTGGCCTACTGGCTCCCCTTCCTCTGGCCTACTAGCTCCCCTTCCTCTGGCCTGCTGGCTCCCCTTCCTCTGGCCTGCTGGCTCCCCTTCCTCTGGCCTGGCTCCCCTTCCTCTGGCCTGCTGGCTCCCCTTCCTCTGCGGAAGCACAGTTCCCGCTCAGCCCAGTCAAAGCTGTTCGCTGCTCTGGCACCCCAATGGTGGAACAAGCTCCCCCCACGACGCCAGGACAGCGGAGTCACTCGCCACCTTGCGGAGACATTTGAAACCCCACCTCTTTAAGGAATACCTGGGATAGGATAAAGTAATCCTTCTACCCCCCCCCCCCCCCCAAAAAAAATACAATAATAATAATAACTTTGTAAAGTGGTTGTCCCACTGGCTATAAGGTGAATGCACCTATTTGTAAGTCGCTCTGGATAAGAGCGTCTGCTAAATGACGTAAATGTAATGTAAATGGATATTGGGTGGGGCTCGGAATTGATGTGGCCGGCGCGGGGCGAGTGTGGCTCCAAAAAACGGACCCGTGCAGGACTGTGTTGTGTGTGTAAGTTTGTGTAAGTGGTTGGATGTGTGGGGAGTCAGCGCAAACAGTCTTTAAGGTGCAGATATTCTCAAGGTGCAAATAGTCTCAAGGTGCAGGTCTGTGCAGGGAGACAGCTAGGGTTAGAGTGAACCGTCCGTGGCTCGGGTGACTCGAGTCCTTGACGATCTTTCGGCCAGTGTTTTTACATTGTATTTAGCTTCAGTATTCCTATCAATATGTCTTGTCTGGTTGCACTGTATTGAAAGTAAAAGTTCTAACCTGGACCCGTCCTCTGTAGCTCAGCTGGTAGAGCACGGCGCTTGTAACGCCAAGGTAGTGGGTTCGATCCCCGGGACCACCCATACACAAAAATGTATGCACGCATGACTGTAAGTCGCTTTGGATAAAAGCGTCTGCTAAATGGCATATTATAATTTTATTTTTAAGGGAATATTATCAACAAGTGGATTCACCTTCACCGTTACATCTCATATTGCTCAAATAAACAGCAAACCTGGTTTAAAAAAACAGATGAAGCAACACCTCACGGCACAACGCCTCTCCCCTATTTGACCTAGATAGTTTGTGTGTATGTATTGATATGTAGGCTACGTGTGCTTTCAAAAAAAAAAAAATGTAGTTCTTGTCTATTAATGTTCTGTATTATGTCATGTTTTGTGTGGACCCAAGGAAGAGTAGCTGCTGCTTTTGCAACAGCTAATGGGGATCCTAATAAAATACCAAATACCTGTTCATCTTTCCCTTACTACACAGCTCAGGTTGCAGACCCAGGCATGGTCCGCATCATATGTGGCCACCACAACTGGATCGCTGTGGCTTATGCACAATTTGTTGTTTGCTACAGGTAAGGACACAGGACTTCCATGCATGATGTCACAGTGTCATATGAATCAGTCATTTGGTAAGGACCAAAGAGGGTATTAACTGTGCTGTCCTCTTCCATCAGAGTGAAGGAGTCTACGGGCTGGCAGCAGGTGTTCACCAGTCCCCGTCTGGACTGGGTGATTGACAGGGTGGCGCTCAACGCCAAGGTGATGGGCGGCTCCCTGGGAGACAACGACAAGATGGTGGCCGTGGCCTCGGGCACAGAGATCATCCTCTGGACTATCTGTCCTGACGGCAACGGCAACGAGATAGGTCAGTCTGCAAACGAATGAACGCACGGTGTTAAAACAAATATAGCTATGATATCATTTTTATCGCTCAAAATATTGACTATTGACTTGTCGTTAGTATTTTAAGAGACCACTTTAAAGGTAGTTGTGGGGGCTTATGTAAGGGCCGTGCTAATAGGTCTCCATTGTACCTGCTTCCTTCCAGGGGTGTTCAGTCTGAATGTCCCCGTGGAGGCTCTCTTCTTTGTGGGGAACCAGCTTATTGCCACCAGCCACACAGGGAAAGTGGGAGTATGGAATGCAGTGACCAAACATTGGCAGGTAAAGTTGTATCCATGCATTCTATAAGAATGTCATGTCAATAGAACGTATATATTATGTGTAGTAATAATATATGTGGTTGTGTGTGGCTCAGTTGCAACGCCATGATTGTGGGTTCGATTCCCGGGGCCACCCATATGTAAAATGTGTGCACACATGACTGTAAGTGGCGTTGGCTAAATAGCATATATTAAATGTGTGTTGTACATCAGTTGTTCATGTTTTCCATTTCTCTTTCCCTTCTCAGAATCAAGATGTGGTTCCCATTAATAGCTATGATACTGCCGCTTCCTTCCTCATTCTAGGCTGTAACAATGGGTCCATATATTATATAGGTAAGGAAAGTCATCTTTTCTACATATGATGCAATAATGGAAAACTATTAAAATCGTTTTTCTGTATAGCAGAATGCTGTCAAGGTGTTTTTCTAATACATCATTCAGTATAAGTATATTAATACACTTGCAAAATATAGACCTCTCATTGATGTGTTCTTGTCAACAGATGTTCAGAAGTTTCCATTGAGGATGAAGGACAATGACCTCCTAGTGACAGAGTTATACCGCGACCCCACGGAGGACGCCATCACTGCTCTCAGTGTCTACCTCACACCCAAAACAAGTATGTCTGCCCGTTTCGATTTTTACCTTCACTGAAATTAATAGCTTTTTCTGCATATTTTTAAGGATGAGCAAGTATCATATTAGTCAATCATGGTTATTGGAAATACAATCTTAATAGATGCATGGTGCAAAACAATCATTTTCATGTTACTTCATTTATGGTCAGCAATGGCCGTATAATTTTATAGGCAGCTGGCAGATTTGGAATGGTTCCTGGTGGCGTTTCGCTAACTCTTTGCCGAACCTTAACCTTTAAACTAATCTTGACCTTTACCCTAACCTAACGTCCCTAACACGAACACTAACTTTAACCAATTTCGATCCTAATTCCTCACCTTAATCTTTGGGTCTGCCAGCTGACTATCCACTTCCATTTCTTGATATGCACGGTACATAACACAGCATGCATTGAGGCTAAAATGGTGTATGGGATAAAAGTCCCCAATGTGTCGTCAGGCGACAGCGGCAACTGGATCGAGATCGCCTACGGGACCAGCTCGGGCACGGTGCGGGTGATAGTGCAGCACCCGGAGACAGTGGGCTCTGGGCCCCAGCTCTTCCAGACCTTCTCAGTCCACCGCAGCCCCGTCACCAAGATCATGCTCTCTGAGAAACACCTCATATCAGGTGAGAATGGTTGGCCAGGAGCCTCCATGTTCTAGTGATGATCGTTAATTAGCGGTGTATTCTACTGTCTCCGCTTGTAAGCTGTTGGATATTATGCAAATGAATTCAGAAACATTGGTCATCCAAGTTTAGTGCAGAAGATGGGCCCATCGTGCAGATGTTTTTGGGCTAACCCTGTTGTGTCGTGTCGTCAGTGTGTGCAGACAACAACCACGTGCGGACCTGGACGGTGACTCGCTTCAGGGGGATGATCTCCACCCAGCCAGGCTCCACCCCCCTCACCTCCTTCAAGATCCTCTCTCTGGAGGACATCGACGGCCACGGGGGCTGTGCTGCCGGCACTGAGATAGGTAAGCAGACAGAGGTCAGGGGTCAAAAGTGGACACTGGTTTGAATGTTTAATTGAAGTTAACATTTGGAGATGCAGTGAGAAAGGACTGTAAGGGTACCTGCTGTGTGTTGTTCCTCTCTAACAGGTCCCTATGGAGAGCGAGACGACCAGCAGGTATTTATCCAGAGGGTCATCCCTGACACAGACAAACTCTACGTGCGCCTCTCGTCCAATGGAAAGAGGGTGTGTGAGGTGCGCTCTGTGGACGGCACCTCCATCACCTCCTTCATGGTCCACGAGTGTGAGGGGTCCAGCCGCATCGGCTCACGCCCCCGCCGCTACCTCTTCAGTGGCCACGCCAACGGTAGCATCCAGATGTGGGACCTGACCACCGCCATGGAGATCGCAGGGAAAGTGGACATCAGGGGTAAGACAACCCCGCACTCTAAACACATGGCTTTTTGTGTTGACTGGTTTTATTAAGTGATGTGTCATAGACATTGTGCTGTGTCTCTGACTGTCTCTGTCTGGTTGTCCCTCAGCGCTGGGCGGCCCTACAGAAGAAGAGCTGCTGGAGCTGTTAGACCAGTGTGACCTGGCTCTGACCCGTACCCCTGACATGAGTCCTGCTGCCTCCTTCACCCACTCCTCCACCTGCAGGTACACCACCCACCATTGCCAACTGCCCATGCAATCAGGCGCATGCTACCCCCATACAGCTGCATATGTTAACCCACTTTTGCAAGTGCACATCATATTCAGGGCATAAAATGAACACCCGCCACCAACCAAATGCGGGTAGATGTAGGTATTGGCGGATAAAAATGTCTACTTCACCAGCCACTTTTAGAGGGGGGGTCAATTTGCCGGGCAATACAGTGTGAGCATTGCATTTGTGAATAAAAATAGTCAAAAAGTCATGTATGAGCATATAGTGTGAGTTGCAACTTCTAGCAGAAAAATGCTGAAGTAGCTGCTTTCAAAGTACAGTATTTCTGCTGTTTTGTTTCATAGCTGCTAATCGCACAAAGAAATACGAATCCTACATCCCACCTCGCGCAGCTTCGCGCACTGAGAGTGAAGAGCTGATAGATTAATTTTTGGAGGCGCTGGCACAGAAAAGCATAAAAGTTGGTCTAATTTACGTCTTGTGTTTCTTGGCTATTTACATTGTTTTGTTCACAAGCTCGGTTGTTTTTCAATGTTAGTTTGAATCTGCTGCTTCAACTGATAGCAAAGAGACACCGTAGATGCTGTCTACTACTAGTCACATCCCAAATGTTACAGACACACATGACATGACTCGAGTAGCCCCGGTAACCTTCCGCCCTTAAAGGGGCAGCTCAACATTTTGTCTCATCTGATATATTCGTTAAAAGAACGGGCTCGGGAGAGGCGAAGGTCGAGTCATGCGTCCTCCGAAACATGACCCGCCAAACCGCGCTGCTTCTTAACACCTGCTCGCTTAACCCGGAAGCCAGCCGCACCAATGTGTCAGAGGAAACACCATTCAACTGACGACTAACGTCAGCTTGCAGGCGCCCGGCCCGCCACAAGGTGTCGCTAGAGCGCGATGAGCCAAGGAAAGCCCCCCCCCCCCCCCCCCCCCCGGCCAAACCCTCCCCTAACCCGGACGACGCTGGGCCAATTGTGCGCCGTCCTATGGGACTCCTGGTCACGGCCGGCTGTGATACAGCTTGGGATCGAACCCCAGTCAGTAGTGATGCAGTGCCTTAGACTGCTGCGCCACTCAGGAGGCCCCTAAATGTAGCAATATACCACATTACTTCTTACTAATACATTTCTTGTTTTAGAAACATTACAAAGCATGGTCATCCATAAAAAATAAAAATTATGGTGAAAAAAAGTTGAGTGGCTGGTAGATATTTTTCATCTACCTGCCACAGTGGCTGGTGGAACAAAAAGTTAATTTTAGGCCCTGATCATATTCTCTCTGTTTATCTTGTCTCTGCAGTTTGCAGTCCCAGAGTGAGAGCTCCAGGGAGCGCGGGACCAGAGGTGGTGTGAGCAGCTCGGGTCCCTTCTCTGGTAGCCTGCCCCGCCAGGCCCCTCCGGTGCCCCTCACCAAGCCCCGGGACATGGCTCTCCCCATGGCGGGGTTGGGCCTCCAGCCCCACCACCTGGGTCTGAGCCAGGCCTCCCTCAGCAGCAGCGGCAGCCCCCGGCCCGGCCGCACCGCCCCCCAGGACAGAGACCGGGACCGTGTCATGGGGTCTCTGCGCAGGGGTAATTTTGTTGAGCGTTGTCAGGAGCTTGCCAAGGTCTCGGACTCTGCAGGAGGGGTGGAGGGGGGCACGCGGCGCAGCCTGGCTGTATGCTCAGAGTTGGAGGCTAGACTGGGCCTACGGACACCCGCCTCTTTCTCCTGCCCCCCTGCAGCCTCTCCCGCCTCATTGTCATCTTCATCACTGCGCCGGCCACAGCCCACCTCACCCAGCCCTGCCCCTGCTACAATCGTCAGTCCAACCCGCTCCCAGACCCCTGTGTCGCCTCGTCGAGCTGGCACCTCCCCTACTACAGAAGTCCCGCCCCCTGAAGCTGCAGCAGCCACTCCAGAGAGCTCCTCCCCTGTGCCCCCCACCAGTCCTAAACCCCCCATGAATGAGACCAGCTTCTGATTGGCTCTGTGATGTACGAGTGAGTGGACTAACAATGGACGCTTTTGGTGTTTCTGATTATGTGTGGGTTAGTGACCGCACGTATTGTCACATTATTTATGGACTTTTCCTTGATAAGCATCAAGGATGCATATCCAATGACTTTCCTCTGTTTTCAAAGGGCCAGCTGTGATGTAGGCAAGATTCATATACAACATATCCAAAATGTCAATGTGTTGATGATTCCCATTGGAACTCTAGCCATGTATGAAGGTGTTCGGTTGCATTTGGTAGAGCAGTGCATTTCATTAAATTACACTGAACAAGAATATATATGCAACATGATTTCATATAAGGAAATCAGTCAATTGAAATCATTTCATTATGGCATAATCTATGGATTTCACATGACTGTGAATACAGATATCTGTTGGTCACAGATACCTTAAGAATAAAAAGTAGGGGTGTGGATCAGAAAACAGTCAGTATCTGGTGTGACCACCATTTGCCTCATGCAGCATGACACATCTCCTTCACATAGGTGATCAGGCTGTTAATTGTAGCCTGTGGAATGTTGTCCCACTCCTCTTCAATGGCTGTGCGAAGTTTCTGCATATTGGCAGGAACTGGAACACGCTGTCTTACACATCGATCCAGAGCATCCCAAACATGCTCAATGGGTGACATGTCTGGTGAGTATGTAGGCCATGGAAGAACTGGGACATTTTGTGTACAGATCCTTGTGATATGGGGCCGTGCATTATCTTGCTGAAACATGAGGTGATGGCGGTGGATGAATGGCACAATAATGTGCCTCAGGATCTCGTCACGGTATCTCTGTGTATCCATGGAGGCAGGTGGGAGGAGGACAGGCTCATTGGAATGGAATGAATGGAACGGTATCAAACATCAAATATATGGAAACCACATGTTTGACTCCGCTCCATTAATTCCATTCCAGCCATTACAATGAGCCCGTCCTCCTATAGCTCCTCCCACCAGCCTCCACTGCTGTGCATTTAAATTGCCATTGATAAAATGCAATTGTGTTCATTGTCCGTAGCTTATGCCTGCCCATACCATAACCCCACCGCCACCATGGGGCACTCTGTTCACAATGTTGACATCAGCAAACCGCTCGCCCACACAACGCCATACACGCTGTCTGCCATCTGCCCGGTACAGTTGAAACTGGGATTAATCCGTGAAGAGCACACTTCTCCAGCGTGCCAGTGGCCGTCGAAGGTGAGCATTTTCCCACTGAAGTCGGTTTCTACGCCGAACTGCAGTCAGGTCAAGACCCTGGTGAGGACCCTGTGACGGTTTCTGATAGTTTGTACAGAAATTTAATTATTTGGTTGTGCAAACCCACAGTTTCATCAGCTGTCCGGGTGGCTGGTCTCCGATGATCCCGAAGATGAAGGAGCCAGATGTGGAGGTCCTGGGCTGGCATGGTTACACGTGGTCTGCGGTTGTGTGGCCAGTTGGACGTGAGGCCAGTTGAACGTACTGCCAAATGTTCTAAAACAACATTGGAGGTGGCTTATGGTAGAGAAATGAGCATTCAATTCTCTGGCAACAGCTCTAGTGGACATTCCTGCTGTCAGCATGCCAATTGCACGCTCCCTCAAAACTTGAGACATCTGTGGCATTGTGTTGTGACAAAACTGCACATTTTAGAGTGGCCTTTTATTGTCCCCAGCACATGGTGCACCTGTGTAATGTTCATGCTGTTTAATCAGCTTCTTGATATGCTACACCTGTCAAGTGGATGGATTGTCTTGTCAAAGGAGAAATGGTCACTAACAGGGATGTAACAAATTTGAGATAAATAAGCTTTGTGCATATGGAACATTTCTGGGATCTTTTATTTCAGCTCATGAAAAATGGGACCAACACTTTACATGTTGCGTTTATATTTTTGTTTAGTGTATAATGTTCAGCTTTACATAACATTATATATACAGTACCAGGCAAAAGTTTGGACACACCTACTCATTCAAGGGGTTTTCTTTATTTTTACTATTTTCTACATTGTAGAATAATTGTGAAGACATCAAAACTATGAAATAACACATATGGAATCATGTAGTAACCAAACAAGTCACAGACACATCTCAACATCAACTGTTCAGAGGGGACTGTGTGAATCAGGCCTTCATGGTCAAATTGCTGCAAAGAAACCACTACTAAAGGACACCAATAAGACGAAGAGACCTGTTTGGGCCAAGAAACACGAGCAATGGACATTAGACCGGTGGAAATGTGTCCTTTGGTCTGGAGTCCAAATTGGAGATTTTTGGTTCCAACCGCTGTGTCTTTGTGAGACACGGTGTGGGTGAACGGATGATCTCTGCATGTGTAGTTCCCACCGTAAAGCATGGAGGAGGAGGTGTTATGGTGTGGGGGTGCTTTGCTGGTGACACTGTCTGTGATTTATTTACATTTATATAAAAAATGTGTCATTTAGCAGACGCTCTTATCCAGAGCGACTTACAGTTAGTGAGTGCATACATTTTCATACTGGCCTCCCGTGGGAAACGAACCCACAACCCTGGCGTTGCAAGCGCCATGCTCTACCAACTGAGCTACAGGGGACGGTGTGAGTAGGTGTGTCCAAACTTCTGACTGGTACTGTGTGTGTAATTCAAAGCATGGTTACCACAGCATTCTGCAGAGATACGCCATCCCATCTGGTTTGGGTTTAGTGGGACTATCATTTGTTTTTCAACAGGACAATGACCCAACACACCTCCAGGCTGTGTAAAGGCTATTTTACCAAGAAGGAGAGTGATGGAGTGTTGCATCAGATGACCTGGCCTCCACAATCCCCCAACCTCAACCCAATTGAGATGGTTTGGGATGAGTCGGACGGCAGAGTGAAGGAAAAGCAGCTAACAAGTGCTCAGCATATGTGGGAACTCCTTCAAGACTGTTGGAAAAGCATTCCAGGTGAAGCTGGTTGAGAGAATGCCAATAGTGTGCAAAGCTGTCATCAAGGCAAAGGGTGGCTATTTGAAGAATCTGAAATATAAAATATAGTTTGATTTGTTAAACACTTTTCTGGTTACTACATGATTCCTTATGTGTTTTTTCATAGTTTTGATGTCTTCACTATTATTCTACAATGTAGAAAATAGTAAAAAATAAAGAAAAACCCTTGAATGAGTAGGTGTGTCCAAACTTGACTGGTACTGTATGTTGACACTGGAATTGTGCTGGAGATTATTAAAAAAATAGGTTGAAAAGAGGTGAAGTTGCCCTTAAAGAAATGTGAAGACATGTAATAGTATTTACCTCACACTGGGCTCCAGCATCATGGGCTTGCAGGCTGAAGTGATGTATAGGCCTACACCTCTACTGTACACACAGTATCAATGTAGTGGTGATTTTTTGAAGAGGAAACCGATGGAGAATCTATATATCATTTTATCATTCATATGTTTAGTTACATCTGACTAACTTACTGCCATTTTGAATCATTCTTTTTCAAAAGTCTTCCTCCAGATCACATCCCAGTGCCTCAGGTACCTGTGTTTTATATCTTTCCCAATGGGTTATGCCCTTTTACCAAAACTTTGTTGCAAGGACAATGGAGTCATTGGTTAAGATTTGTGATTGGCGAAAGATCAATTTTGTTATGTTGCACTTGAGGTATATGAGTGCCTTAAGGTAAGGATTCTACCAAACGTGGGTAGAGGTATACTGTATCTCTTTGTGCTTTTTCTGAACCACTTAATACGGTATATATTTTGTTCATATTATCCTGTTTTCACGTGTTTGTGTATTTAATGGTTTATGTCGCAATGTTAAAATAACTGGGTTAATTGATATGGCACTGACAAAGTAGTTCAGCCGTATTTTCTGTTGCACCAATAGGTCAGAGGAAGAGGTGTGTTCAAATTTGTCTCTGTTTACTGTCTTGTCTAATACTTGTCACTGTTTTTTGTCTTTCTCACTTTGGTAGCGTTTGTTTTTCTCTGCAATTCCGTGTTTATGTCACAAAAATGAAGCAGAAAGTCATTATTAATCAAACTTCCATTTACGTGTATGTTTGTGTCATTGGTTAAACTGGCACCACCTTGAATGTTTTGTTGAATTGTACGAAACCAAAGGTAGTCATTTAACCCATTATCCTATGTTATTTTTGTACATTTTATTTCTATGCAATTTTCTGACTATATAACACAAATACATCTTAAATGGAAATGTAACATTAAATGTTTTGTGTCTGTCTGTACAAAGTACATCTGTCTGTCCATTAACTAATAGTAATAATTTTGGCAACAGTGGGATTGCTTTGTCAGTAGCAGAATGTTACCCGAGGATGCTGTGAGTGCATTTCATATACAGTACCCTTGAGTTAGTCACATTTCTAGCTTTTATGACTGTACTTTTCTAATCTGGTCTTCATAAATCGAATAAAACTATTAACTAATTACAGTGAACCTACTTTGTACTTCAGCATGAAATACAATGTTCACACTCCAATGTCTGTCACACTCTAAACACATTTCATTCCAAAAGCATTTTATTCAAACACATACAAACTAGTATGAAAGCAGTTAATGTCTTTGTACAGCGATCATGTAATAAATAAATACATAAATAAAATACAAATGTCATGGCAATGCACCTTATTAGTACAGTATAAGGCAGGTAAGTCAAAAGAATGTGCCGTTTGTAATGATAGCAGTACTAATAGTTTGGTTCAGCCTGGCTAACAGCTCACAGAGGCCTTTGGCTAAGTGATATCTAGCTCCCAGAATACATTGTCTATAACCATAGTGCTATTATGTTTTCACATGAGTAACAACCTTTTATATTGACTGAATATCATGGCTTGAAAATCCCCATGATATAAAAAAAAAACATTGTACATACTCTCCTCTGGAAAAAGTACCCAAATATTTATGAATCTACTAGACTCGGGACTATTCAATCTGTATCGCTGAAGCGTTACAGATTGGCCGATAGCAATGTAAATGTAATTTCCGATTGAGCCGTCATAGGCAAGTGTTTACCATGAATGCAGTCTCCGCTGACGCGAGAACATTGCCTTTGAATTTCAATCACACTGTAACGTTGAACTTCTGGCGATATGGATTGAATAGAGCCCTTGACTTTTACCCTAGTAAGAAACAAGATCTATCACTTGTACAAGTTGTTCTACTGTACGCAATTCTCACAAGTCAGTCTTGTTCCATGACACCAAGACTTGTCATAAAACTGCGAACCACCAAGCCCTGAACTTCTGACCCCACAACAATGGGGCACCTGGTTACGGTTTGTGGGGGCCAATGGGAGGTTAGGTGTAGAACAGTCATATTTTGGCGTCCAGCATCTCCAGGAAGAGTTTGTGCATGGGCACGCGGCCCTCCAGGTGGAGCCGGCAGAAGGAGTCCACGGCGCAGTTGGCAGTCTGCCGGAGCAGGGGCAGGGTCATGAGCAGTTTGCCTGCTCGGTGGAGCTCTGCTGGGTGCTGGGCGCTCTCGTACTCCTGCAGGGCCTCATGGAGTCCGTCCTGGAACTGCTGCACTGCCTCCGCACTCTCCAGGTTCTCTGAGTCTGAGCGGGGAGAGACAAGGTCAAGGGAGGCCTGTGGGTGTTTGGGTGTGGGTGGAATCGGGTGTTAAAACCTCCCCTTGTTTCGGCACGACAGCGTGTCAGATCCCATTGTCCACCACATTTGTTTCACCATTGAGGGCTAATGAACGAGCGAAGGTTAAGTTGCATGCAGCCAACCCTCATTTTTCTGAAAGGACTGTAAATGTAAAAACAAAGGCTCCCTCCTCTGATCCTTCTAGCCACCTCAGGCGGTGTGACTGCCCCGGAGTGTCAGGCTAATTCCTGGGATAATTTGCGGGGCGCTGGGAGGCAGATGGATTTATTGATCAAGGGCTGAGGGCAGAAGCAGCCTTCTCACTGTTAGGATATTGATCAGTTTCCACTTGCTGTGGCCTGGGGAACAACAGTGGGAGGGGAGGGAGGGGTGAGAGAAGTGGTTGTTGGAGAACAGATTTGGCAGAGGTCTAGACCTCCCCACTCTCTGTCATGGTGGTCTGAAGAGTGGCAGTTTGTACAGAGGTGATTGAAAATGATTAATAAACTAAAATCTAGCCACTAATTCATTCCCTGACAGCTAGTAGTTTTTCATGTCATTGACCATCATTTAACCTTGCCCTGCTAGGGGACTTGACCCTGGAGCAAAAGTGTGTTCAAGGACAAACCCTGAGGGAAAGGCACTGTGGATCACACTTAGGGGCTTTAATCAATCTGTATTGCCAAAGCGTTACAGATTGCAAGATAGACATGTAAAGGTAATTTCCGATCGAGCCGACATATGCAGCGTTTACGTAAATACAGTCTCCACTAACGTGGTAACATTGCCTTTACATTTCAATCACGCTACAATGCTGAACTTCCACAATACGGATTGAATAGAGCCCTAACTCTCTCCACAGTCCTGAAGGAGTGGCTGTATGTAGGGCTGCCTGAGGACGGTGCAGTAGATTTTGTACCAAGTCAGTGTATCGTAAAGCTGAATGTAACACAATTAATTATTGTAAGCACTTGCCAGACAGGTTAGTTAGTGGTATATATTTTTGGTAGTTCTGCCATTCTTATAATGCTTTTTAAGAGCGATTGTACAAGGGTACAGCTAGGTCTCTTGAGTTTGCTCTGTCACAGCTGACAACACCAAACGACTGATAACAGATATCCAGTGCATGCCATGTAGTTAGTACCTGAGTTGGCGAGGGCCATAGCCTTGAGAGTGACCACCTCCTCTTGGCTCAGGCTCATCTGCTGGTACTTGGTGATCAGCTGTCTCAGGGCGGTGTAGAGGTCAGAGAGTCCGGCCGCTCTGCACTGGGCCTGGACCAGACGCAGGTTCCCAGCAAACACCAGCTCCTCCCCATAGCCCAGAGACTGTGACACCACTGACAGCACCAGCGTCTCCATCCAACCACTCTGCAGCAGGGTCATCTGGTCCACCAATGAAAGGGCCGAGAAGCCTGGAAGGGCAAATATGGAAACATAATACTCTATAAATTCTCACAGTATAAAAAGTCAACTTTGTCCATTTGTACTAGTGTTAATTGGCATGGCATAGTCTTTTTCGTATTTAAGCAGGGAGTCATGCTTATTTAACATGACCTACAAGAGCAACAGGAGTGGGTACCTGGGATATGCTTTGCCCAGCCAATCATGACCAGGAGTTTCCTGTTTAGGAGGTCACACAGCGTCAGCAGGGCTTTAAGGTTGTCGTCATTGGTTGAGTTGTCAGGCGTGGCACACAGGGGGGCTGGCTCTGTCAAGAGGAGCTGGGAGATCACTTTGTTTCCTGAAAGAGGTCAAACAGATATATTTGTAATCAGTGGTGGAAAAAGTACCCAATTGCCATACTTGAGTAAAAGTAAAGATACCTTAATAGAAAATTACTCAAGTAAAAGTGAAAGTCACCCAGTAAAATACTACTTGAGTAAAAGTCTAAAAGTATTTGGTTTTAAATATACTTAAGTATCAAAAGTAAATGTAATTTCAAAAATATACTTAAGTATCAAAAGTAAAAGTAAAAGTACGAATAAAATTCCTTATATTTTTAAAATTTACGGATAGCCAAAGGCACACTTCAACACTCAGACATAATTTACAAACAAAGCATTTGTGTTTAGTGAGTCCGCAAGATCAGAGGCAATAGGGATGACCAGGGATGTTCTCTTGATAAGTGTGTAAATTCAACAATTTTCTGTCCTGCTAAGCATTCAAAATGTAACGAGTACTTTTGGGTGTCAGGGAAAATGTATGGAGTAAAAAGTACATTATTTTCTTTAGGGAAGTAAAAGTAAAAGTTGTCAAAAATATAAATAGTAAAGTACAGATACCCAAAAAAACTTAAGTACTTTACACCGCTGTTAGTAATGTACTCTAGTGTACTCCCCGTTTGTGACTGACAAGGCTCTTATTGGAGTGTATGAGTGCTGTATGACCGAGGGTACTCACCGTTGGACTTGATGAGGTGTGTGTATGGGGCCTTCATATAAAGAGATAGCCCAGAGTCCCCCCTTCTCTTGTATTTCTGACGTCCTCCTCTTACTCTGTCCATGCGAACACCTGTAGTGACACAAACATGATTATCAGTGATCATCATGTTTGTTCATTGATTGATCCTCAATCCCCAAGTCAAAAAATCAAATTGAATCAAATTTTATTGGCCACATGCGCCGAATACAATAGGTGCAGACATTACAGTGAAATGCTTACTTACAGCCCTTAACCAACAGTGCATTTATTTTTAATAAAAAAAGTAAAATAAAACAACAAAAAAGTGTTGAGAAAAAAAAGAGCAGAAGTAAAATAAAATAGCAGTAGGGAGGCTATATATACAGGGGGGTACCGGTGCATAGTCAATGTGCGGGGGCAGCGGCTAGTTGAGGTAGTTGAAGTAATATGTACATGTGGGTAGAGTTAAAGTGACTATGCATAAATAATTAACAGAGTAGCAGCAGCGTAAAAATATGGGGTGGGGGGTGGGGGTGGGGGGCAGTGCAAATAGTCCGGGTAGCCATGATTAGCTGTTCAGGAGTCTTATGGCTTGGGGGTAGAAGCTGTTGAGAAGCCTTTTGGACCTAGACTTGGCACTCCGGTACCGCTTGCCGTGCGGTATCAGAGAGAACAGTCTATGACTAGGGTGGCTGGAGTCTTTGACAATTTTGAGGGCCTTCCTCTGACACCGCCTGGTATAGAGGTCCTGGATGGCAGGAAGCTTGACCCCAGTGATGTACTGGGCTGTACGCACTACCCTCTGTAGCGCCTTGCGGTCGGAGGCCAAGCAGTTGCCATACCAGGCGGTGATGCAACCAGTCAGGATGCTCTCGATGGTGCAGCTGTAGAATTTTTTGAGGATCTGAGGACCCATGCCAAATCTTTTCAGTCTCCTGAGGGGGAATAGGCTTTGTCGTGCCCTCTTCACGACTGTCTTGGTGTGTTTGGACCATGATAGTTCGTTGGTGATGTGGACACCAAGGAACTTGAAGCTCTCAACCTGTTCCACTACAGCCCCGTCGATGAGAATGGGGGCGTGCTCAGTCCTCTTTTTTTTCCTGTAGTCCACAATCATCTCCTTTGTCTTGGTCACGTTGAGGAAGAGGTTGTTATCCTGGCACCACACGGCCAGGTCTCTGACCTCCTCCCTATAGGCTGTCTCATCGTTGTCGGTGATCAGGCCTACCACTGTTGTGTCGTCGGCAAACTTAATGATGGTGTTGGAGTCGTGCCTGGCCATGCAGTCATGGGTGAACAGGGAGTACAGGAGGGGACTGAGCACGCACCCCTGACGGGCCCCTGTGTTGAGGATCAGTGTGGCAGATGTGTTGTTACCTACCTTTACCACCTGGGGGCGGCCCGTCAGGAAGTCCAGGATCCAGTTGCAGAGGGAGGTGTTTAGTCCCAGGATCCTTAGCTTAGTGATGAGCTTTGAGGGCACTATGGTGTTGAATGCTGAGCTGTAGTCAATTAATAGCATTCTCACGTAGGTGTTCCTCTTGTCCAGGTGGGAAAGGGCAGTGTGAAGTGCAATAGAGATTGCATCATCTCTGGATCTGTTGGGGCAGTATGCAAATTGGAGTGGGTCTAGGGTTTCTGGGATAATGGTGTTGATGTGAGCCATGACCAGCCTTTCAAAGCACTTCATGGCTACAGACGTCAGTGCTACGGGTCGGTAGTCATTTAAGCAGGTTATCTTAGTGTCCTTGGGCACGGGGACTATGGTGGTCTGCTTGAAACATGTTGATATTACAGACTCAGTCAGGGACATGTTGAAAATGTCAGTGAAGACAGTTGCCAGTTGGTCAGCACATGCTCGGAGTACACGTCCTGGTAATCCCTCTGGCCCTGCGGCCTTATGAATGTTGACCTGCTTAAAAGTCTTACTCACATCGGCTACGGAGAGTGTGATCACATAGTCATCCGGAACAGCTGGTGCTCTCATGCTCTCAAGAACAGACTATGGGAGGCGCACAGTACTACATAGAGCCATGGCTACATGGAACTCTATTCCACATCAGGTAACTGATGCAAGCAGTAGAATCAGTTTAAAAAAACAGATACAAATACACCTTATGGAACAGCGGGGACTGTGAAGAGAAACAAACACAGGCACAGACACACGCTTACACATACACATGATAAGACACGCACTCTACACACACACGTATAAATTGATTTTGTATTGTATATATGTGGTAGTAGAGTAGTGGCCTGAGGGAACACACTTAAAGTGTTGTGAAAAGTGTTATGAAATGTAATGTTATGTAATATTTTAAATTGTATATACAGTAACTGCCTTAATGTTGCAGGACCCCAGGAAGAGTAGCCGCTGCCTTGGCAGCAGCTAATGGGGATCCTTAATAAATACAAATAGAGGTTGAGTAATTAAAAACTCTAAGTCAGTCTGTGTGCGTTCTGTGGGCCTGTACGCCTTCTGTGGGCCTGTACGCTTAAGCATGTCAGTTTATTGAGCCCAGTGATTCCATTGAGATGAGTTGATGAGTTGGTCATCAAGTCTCACCTTCCTTCATCATGCCGGCACGCAGGCACTTCTGGAAGCGGCATGCTTGGCACGACTTCCTACGACGCTTGGTGATCTCACAATCATTCATCATAGGGCAGCTGTACTCAATGTTACCTGGAAACACAGAAAGCACAGCTCTGTTTACACCCCGCACTCTATACTTGAGGTTACCAGTCAGCAAAGCCAATGCCGTAATAATGTCATCCAAATGGTGATACTGTATTTTACAGTATCTTTCTTACAGTGCATTCTTGATGCTTAACTTTTCAGTCAGCCTAAAGGGAAAATTGTCATATTGTAAAACAAAGTGTATGTTTAGGGGGTATGAGTTTCACTGTCTACAGACAATTAATAATAACTTTATTTTCAACTAAATTAAGCCTTATCTAATGCTTTAATTAAAATAAACACAAATGAACAGCACACAATTGATGGCAATCAGATTAATGACCAATAAAACTAATCTATGATCACATTCAATTGTTCATTACTTTTCTACCAAATATGAATGACAAAAAAAAAACATAAATCTCAATAATTCCTACTGGTTGTGCTGGCAGAGGAAGTGGATGTTTTCACTCAGGCAAAAATCCTTTAGATCCATATCGAGGAAGAAAGCCTCAAGGAGATAAAATGATAAATATAGTTGTCAAGGCAGTAATAGTATTCTAGTATTCTGGTTTGGGAGCTAAAGGTAGAGAAATATTGACAGAGTGAGGACACTGAGACAAGGGCCACAGTTATAGCTGCAGGTTGATTTAGCTGAAGCCTTGTGTCATTAGAAAGGGGTGGGGCCTAGAGGACTAATCCTGACAAGTACTAAACCTTTGTTGATAGTTTCTTTCTCTTCTCACTTCTGTGTTGAGCATACAACATACATATTTACATATTTACATACTACACACAAGGTAACATTTATACATGATACACTAGTCAAAGTATGAACAAGATTTGTTAGAGGATTTTCACTGGTACCTCTGTGACAAAGTGGTATCAAAGTGAGGTGATAACATGAAACGTTATTGCTTATGATGGAACACCATGCACTATGTCTGTTGGTTTTGCTCAGTTGTCATTAAATGCATTTTACTATTATTTTTTCCCTTACTCATCTGTTTTACAGACTCCGCCCTCCCTCATCTCTGTCATTGTGGGACCAGGATTTATTTCTTATACTGTTTGGTGTAAACAGAGAAAGCACTCAGACCAGACTCACGGACATGGCATCCTCTTTGCTTCCAGGTATTTGTTGTTCCTCACAACAAAGTCTCACTTTTAAAAGCTATAAATTGCATATTGGTGACAGTAGTATTCTAGTTCCTGAACCAGAATGCATCACTAAAGTTGAAGTATGGTAATTAAGATTTTCCAGTCTCACATAGGCCTTTCTCTTTGAAGTGTGTTTGCATGGTTAATCTGTGAAAGTCAGGTATGGTGAGCTAGAGAGAAAGTGAGAGGCAGGCAGGGGGAATTAGAACAGACCGGAAAACCAAGGGATAGAATTAGACTAGAGAAGGGAGGGGAGGGAGGGAGTGGAAAGAGAGAGGGAACTCTTACCTGGAACTGGTCAGTAGGTCAGGTACAGGTGTACAGTACAGGGTTTACAGCTGGTGAAAGGGGATGGGGGTGATGAGGTAGGAGGGTTAGGGTGGCTGGAGGGTGAGGATTAGGAGCCATCCGATGCCAGTGTGTTGGCAGGGGTGCTGAAGCAGCACTTTTGGACAACCCTGATGTGTGAAAACCATGTGAGTTGCTAGAACATCCAAATCCATTCATCAGACACCTAAGCCCCATTTATACCTGGCGCTAACATGGATCCTGATCTTGTCTGCATTCTGATTGTGCGCACATTTCCAGAAATGCGTCTACACATGGTATTCAAATGTGGCTGTTATCCGTCCACTGTGTCTGCATTGTGACCACATTTCCTGGTCCCTTCTTGTAAGCAAATTATTTCACAGCTATTCTTTCAAAATAATATTTATTGTTAGACACATATTGATGTAATCATTCAATGATTTTAGAGGGCAGAATAATGATGATTTAAATGGTTTCTCTGTCCAGATCTGTCTACACTTGTAAGATACAATGCGCGCCTGACTACCTCCGGAGGTGGGCAGGATGATCTGATCACAATCAGATCACAATGAGTCTTTTGATTGTCTACACCTGTCCAAAAAATGTGGGCCCAATCAGAATGTGGACAAGATCAGGACAAAGGACGCAAGTTAAAACCAGGTGTTGCTCTAGATACCTGCTTCACCTGCATTACTGGTATTAGCTGGATCCCAATAAGTGAGCCATTGCTGTCATCATCACTTTGAATTGTGTACACTGTTCCAAAACAGATTATCAAAAATTAAAATATTGGAATTTATAGGAAAAGATGAATCAATCTATTTGGCATATTATATAACCAATACATTATGATTCATATTTTTTTTTCTTCTAAATTGTGGATATTCCAAACAAATATGATTTTGGTCAGTTCACTGATACATTTACACATGGTATTCCACCATCTCAAAATTATTTGGGATGAAAGGTTCCCATAGTGGACCACTGATGCCTTTTCTCTTTTGGCATACATTCCCTGCCCTTGTCATTCCCCAGCTGTGAAATGTATTACAGCACAGCAGCACACTGACCCTGTTCTGACCACGGTAGGCCCCCAGTACAGGGAGACAGGATTACTGTCTAGTCTGACACTACCTGACACTTCTCTCATTCCTCCTCAGCCCTAATCCAACAACGGCTGCATCAGCAAGATGCCCCCACCCCCCCCACCCCACACACACAGAGACAGAGACAGAGAGTGCTAGTGGGTGAAATCAAGTGATACTATCGCTCCCTGGAAGTGTACTGAGGCGAGGGTCAGCCTGGAACCAGTTTTCATGCTCTGTCACAATGCAGGTCAATGGTAAAGACAGGACTGAACTCTCTCTCTGTGATGGAGCCAGTGGAACAGGAACCTACTATTGGCCCATCTTGTCCCTTGTCCTGATTCCATATCATTACATTGTAACAGGCTGAAATCCTGCTTACAAAACTGTAATAATACTAATGCCTGTTTTTAAGGTACTCTTACTGCTTTAATGATCATTTAATAAAGGCTCCATGGTCACTACATGTTTTAAGGCTGAGTGATATACACTGAGTATACAAAACATTAAGAACACCTGCTCTTTCCATGACATAGACTGACCAGGTGAATCCAGGTGAAAGCTATGATCCCTTATTGATGTCATTTGTTAAATCCACTTCAGTCAGTGTAGATGAAGGGGAGGAGACAGGTTAAAGAAGGATTTTTAAGCCTTGAGACACGGATTGTGTGTGTACCATTCAGAGGGTGAATGGTCAAGAAAACAAATGTAAGTGCCTTCAACAGGGTATGGTAGTAGGTGCCAGGCACAAAGGTTTGTATCAAGAACTGCAACACTGCTGGGTATTTCCCGCAACTGTGGGCAATGGAGTCAACATGGGCCAGCATCCCTGTGGAACGCTTTCGACACCTTGTAGAGTCCGTGCCCCAACAAATTGAGGCTGTCCTGAGGGCAAAAAGGGAGGGGGGGGTGCAACTCAATATTAGGAAGGTGGGCTATATTTGTAATAAACAAAGGATAAACATCAACAAAGGACAGCAAATGTGGTTGTTGCTGGTTATTGGTGAACACAGTAATAATTAGGAATTACAGTATTTGCCAGCAAGTGGTGAGTGTTAACACTGATCTTCCAGTCATTTGGCCCAGATTCAGGATAGTTGATAAGGAGAGAAAACAGAGTGTACAGTCCAACAGAAAAAGCTGAAATTTCGCTAGCCCTTGCAATCCGCAAGAGATAATTAAGTATGAAGTGAACCTCTTTAATCAGCTTTGTAGTGTGTGGTGGAGAAGGATTGGCCTATAAAAGAGATTAGACATGGGATCCTTATAAACACTACTGGGAATTAGGGTTAGAGTAGCAGGTAAATGGATTAGAGGCCACAAAGACCACGTGTGAGAGAGGTGGAAACTGCTGTTATGACAGTGCAAGATAGGGACAGTGATAATGATGCTAATAAAAATTTGCATGGCTACCCACACTCCTTGCTCCGGCCAAACGCTATGCCACGCTCACAGACTTTAGTTTCTTCTCCGCAATGAGTCTGGATCTGAGTACCTCTGCAACCCTTCACCGAATGCCAACACATTCGGGGCCATCTGATTGATTCGGAAACCAATAGTTTGAGCCAAAGCTAGAACACACATGGGTAATGCAGAGGTTTGAAAATGTGTCATTGGCTTTGATACTCTGATTGGTTAGAGACGATCCAATTGCTGATGGCTTTGTTTTGTACAACGCCTCTTGTGCCCCTCGTCACCACAAAGTATGTCACGAACGACAGAGCAGCGGAATAATTTAGTTTGAGTCGTCAGGCTAAATCAAAATACTGTGTTATACCTACACCACTGGTTTACTCCCAAGCTTCCAATATGTTACTACTTTATAGCAACAACCTTGTAAAGTAAAAGTGTATACGATAAATGTGATTCTGTCACAAATAATGAGATCCAAAAGCCACTTGGAATGGAAAGTGTGCAAATATATTTTCAAATAGTTTTCATAGCAATAATGATATGAAAATCACTAACAAAACAATTAACAAATACCAGAAAAAAATAAAAAAATGTACAAAGTTTTGTTTAAAAAGTACACAACGGCTACGTCGTCCACAAATACAGTGCATAGTGTTATACATCTTTAGGTGCTGAAAGGAGGAAATGCTTTCGGGTTTGTTTCAGCTTGTAAACTACATCAGGAAGTAGGAACATTTACAGAGAAGGTTCTACTCACTGAAACAGATACCATTTGGTAAAGAAAAGTAATTTCTCAATTGTAAATATGTACATGGTATTTTATCACTGATTGTGTATTGATCACACAAACAACATTTCAAATTGTGAATACATAGTCAACTATCTTATATCAGTTTTAAGGTACATTCATTCTCATGTAAAAAAAAAAAATCTAAATTGGCTACAAAACTCTAAAGAAAGAAATGTACAGACACGTCAGTGATGTGTAGCTTTCTCTTCCGCATATACATTTCTATAAAATAATAAAAGTTATTATTACATAAAGAGTACCTTAACTTTGAACAGCATAAATTAATACAAGAAGCAATCATAAACAAATATCAGTGAGGTTGTAAAATCAACAAATGGAGAGAAAACAAGTCACTGACATTTTAGAGGAATACAAATTTGGTTCCGCGATGTCATGACGTTGCTGTGTATTTTGTACAGTCCAGCTAAAGAGAGCGTTCGTTAACAAAACATCCACAGACAGAGATTCTGTCTTAGACAAAGGCTCTACTCGTCTGTAGCAGTAGCTTGTCATCTTTGTCTTAGAGACTACACTGGCCCCATTCAATGGTTCCGGTCTGCCTCAGGTCTAGGCACAGAACATGGTGTGTTGATCATGATTGAGCTCAATGGGCCGGATCCTACCTTTAGATACGTGTTCGTATAGTTAGGATTCTGCACAATGTACGTTAACCTCTTTTTCACAACTATGCAATTCAACATCATCAAAGGAAAGGTTGGCTAAAGGACATATTTATTTACCTGCTTTAAAATAGCAGTCTCAAGTGTATGAGTGTAGTTGAGCTCATGTGTATATATATAATGAGTTGTGTGTGCAGTATAGGACTCAAACCGTATTAATATCAGAGTTCTATGGACTCAAATCTCTCTCAGACATGATACATCAGTACGTTGATGTTTTCTTCAGAGAACAACCCTCTCAGCTTTTATCTCAGGTCAGAAAATGGACAGGTACTTTAGTGAGCCCCTGACAGAGCCTGTAGAGGCCAGAGGGGGGCGCTGGTGATACACAACACTTCCCCAGTAGCAGATAGGACTGTTGAGTGGGGAAAACAATGTTCAAAGTAGTAGCTGTGCTATGCTGCCACACAGTGGTTGGGCCGACGGGACATGACGTAGCCTCGGTGACACACACAGCGATAGGAGCCGTCTGTGTTGATGCATCGGCCATTCACACACACGTTGTCAGGATCCTCACATTCATTGATGTCTGGGCATAGAAGCAGAACAAATATACAAGTGAAAACACATACAGTTGAAGTCGGAAGTTTACCTACACCTTAGCCAAATACATTTAAACTCAGTTTTTCACAATTCCTGACATTTAATCCTAGTAAAAATTCCCTGTCTTAGGTCAGTTAGGATCACCACTTTATTTTAAGAATGTGAAATGTCAGAATAATTGTAGAGAGAATGATTTATTTCAGCTTTTATTTGTTTCATCACATTCCCAGTGGGTCAAAAGTTTACATACACTCAATTAGTATTTTGTAGCATTGCCTTTAAATTGTTTAACTTGGGTCAAACGTTTTGGGTAGCCTTCCACAAGCTTCCCACAATAAGTTGGGTGAATTTTGGCCTATTCCTCCTGACAGAGCTGATGTAACTGAATCAGGTTTGTAGGCCTCCTTGCTCGCACACACATTTTCAGTTCTGCCCACAAATGTTCTATAGGCTTGAGGTCAGGGCTTTGTGATGGCCACTCCAATACCTTGACTTTGTTGTCCTTAAGCCATTTTGCCACAACTTTGGAAGTATGCTTGGGGTCATTGTCCATTTGGAAGACCCATTTGCGACCAAGCTTTAACTTCCTGACTGATGTCTTGAGATGTTGCTTCAATATATCCACATAATTTTCCTTCCTCATGATGCCATCTATTTTGTGAAGTGCACCAGTCCCTCCTGCAGCAAAGCACCCCCCACAGCATGATGCTGCCACCCCCGCGCTTCACGGTTGGGATGGTGTTCTTCGGCTTGCAAGCCTTCCCCTTTTTCCTCCAAACACAACAATGGTAATTATGGCCAAACAGTTCTATTTTTGTTTCATCAGACCAGAGGACATTTCTCCAAAAAGTAAGATCTTTGTCCCCATGTTCAGTTGCAAACCATAGTCAGGCTTTTTTATGGCGGTTTTGGAGCAGTGACTTCTTCCTTGCTGAGCGGCCTTTCAGGTTATGTCGATATAGGACTTGTTTTAATGTGGATATAGATACTTTTGTACCCGTTTCCTCCAGGATCTTCACAAGGTCCTTTGCTGTTGTTCTGGGATTGATTTGTATTGTTTGTACAGATGAACGTGGTACCTTCAGGCGTTTGGAAATTGCTCCCAAGGATGAACCAGACTTGTGGAGGTCTACAAATTTTTTTCAGAGGTCTTGGCTGATTTCTTTTGATTTTTCCATGATGTCAAGCAAAGAGGCACTGAGTTTGACGGTAGGCCTTGAAATACATCCACAGGTACACCTCCAATTGACTCAAATGATGTCAATTAGCCTATCAGAAGCTTCTAAAGCAATTTTCCAAGCTGTTCAAAGTTACAGTCAACATAGTGTATGTAAACTTCTGACCCACTGGAATTGTGATACAGTGAATTATAAGTGAAATAATCTGTCTGTAAACAATTGTTGGAAAAATTACTTGTGTCATGCACAAAGTAGATATCCTAACCGACTTGCTAAAATGATAGTTTGTTAATAAGAAATGTGTGGAGTGGTTGAAAAACAAGTTTTAATGACTCCAACCTAAGTGTATGTAAACTTCCGACATCAACTGTACATACGAATCAGTGAACGTCCAAATGTATATACACTACCGGTCAAAAGTTTTAGAACACCTACTCATTCAAGTGTTTTTTTTTTTATTTGTACTATTTTCTACATTATAGAATAATAGTGAAGACATCAAAACTATGAAATAACACATATGGAATCATGTAGTAACCAAAAAAAGTGTTAAACAATCAAGTCACCCTTTGCCTTGATGACAGCTTTGCACACACTTGGCATTCTCTCAACCAGCTTCATGAGGTGACAGTCACCTGGAATGCAGATAGCCCTATTTGGTAAAAGACCAAGTCCATATTATGACAAGAACAGCTCAAATAAGCAAAGAGAAACGACAGTCCATCATTACTTTAAGACATGAAGGTCAGTCAATACAGAACATTTGAAGAACTTTGAAAGTTTCTTCAAGTGCAGTCACAAAAACCATAAAGTGCTATGATGAAACTGGCTCTCATGAGGACAGCTACAGGAATGGAAGACCCAGAGTTATCTCTGCTGCAGAGGATAAGTTCATTAGAGTTACCAGCCTCAGAAATTGCAGCCCAAATAAATGCTTCACAGAGTTCAAGTAACAGACACATCTCAACATCAACTGTTCAGAGGAGACTGTGTGAATCCGGCCTTCATGGTCGAATTGCTGCAAAGAAACCACTATTAAAGGACACCAATAATAAGAAGAGACTTGCTTGGGCAAAGAAACACGAGCAATGGACATTAGACCTTTGGAAATGTGTCCTTTGGTCTGGAGTCCAAACTGGAGATTTCTGGTTCCAACCGCCGTGTCTTTGTGAGACGTGGTGTGGGTGAACGGATGATCTCCGCATGTGTATTTCCCACCGTAAAGCATGGAGGAGGAGGTGTTATGGTGTGGGGGTGCTTTGCTGGTGACACTGTCTGTGAGTTATTTAGAATTCAAGGCACACTTAACCAGCATGACTACCACAGCATTCTGCAGCGATACGCCATCCCATCTGGGCTTAGTGGGACTTTCATTTGTTTTTCAACAGGACAATAACCCAACACACCTCCAGGCTGTGTAAGGGCTATTTTACCAAGAAGGAGAGTGATGGAGTGCTGCATCAGATGACCTGCACTCCACAATCCCACGACCTCAACCAAATTGAGATGGTTTGGGATGAGTCAGACCGCAGAGTGAAGTAAAAGCAGCCAACAAGTGCTCAGCATATGTGGGAACTCCTTCAAGACTGTTGGAAAAGCATTCCAGGTGAAGCTGGTTGAGAGAATGCCAAGAGTGTGCAAAGCTGTCATCAAGGCAAAGGGTGGCTATTTGAAGAATCTAAAATATAAAATACCTTTTTGGTTACTACATTATTCCATATGTGTTATTTCATAGTTTTGATGTCTTCACTATTATTATACAATGTAGAAAATAGTAAAAATAAAGAAAAATCCTTGAATGAGTAGGAGTTCTAAAACTTTTGACCGGTAGTGTATGTTCCGGTAGATGTGTAAAACGGTAAATCTATACATTTCCCCGGAAATATCTAGATTATCCATTGCACTGGTAAATCTAAAGATTTTACTGTAAGATAAATGTCAATCTGAGAATAAGAGAATGGCTCTTGCTTTGTGATGCATACAGTATATAGATTGAAAGGCATAAGGTTCGAAGGACTCGTGAAAGGCAGGGAGTTTTGCATTTAGACAACTGCAATTAGTTGAAGGGTTTGTCTTGTGGATTGTGTGAGGAGGGATACCTACCTATGCAGGCCATGGAGGTCATGTCCAGCTCGTAGCCCTCGTAGCAGTCACACGTGTATCCCTCCGCCACACGGATACACCTGCCGTTCTCACAGCCGTGCAGTATCCCACAGTCCTCTGTGCTCAGGCCTGCATACGGCTCATATCGTCCTGGGACAGGGAGAGGCGGAGATGGTCAGAACTATGAACAGATTTCTAATCAAACACACATTCTTCGCAGGGCCTAGGCTAAGTTTACATCTTAAAATGAATGTGAAATATTTTGGGTAATGCAGCAGCATTGACAAAATGACAGTAATGCAGTAAACCCAGTAATGCACAGTAAGAGAGGGCTTACTCTCATAGACTCTCCGTGGGCCTCCACCTCCACCATCTCCACCACCTCCACCACCTGGCCCCCGTCTGTCAAGGAACGGAGGGAAAGGGGGTCCCACACGCCAAGGTTCTGGCCCCTCCTCCTCCTCCTCCTCCTCACTGTAGGGGTCACTGTCCGGGAGGGGGGCCAGACTCAGAGGGAGGCCCTCGGGGATGGGGGGAGGGGGCCGCGCCCCAAAGGCAAGCTCAGAACGAGGGTCTGGGAGGGTCCGGAATGGGGTTCTCGGAGGCGTGTCAGGCAGGCCGTAGTCATCCTCGTCATAGTACCGCTCAGGACTGGCAGGGAGAAATTAAACATGTTTGTCGAGAATATATGTTGCGTCTTACATGATATATGTGAATGAGTGAATAGGGAAGTGTGGTGAATAGGGCAGTGTGTTACATGTATCCTGAGGGCCGTCTGTAGGGGCTTTCGGGGACGCCGAAGGTGCTGGGTGTTCTGTCTCTGAAGCCAGACCTGCTGCCCCCTGTTGGTGTATAGTCGTCATAGTCAGGCTGGGTGTACTCAGGCCTGCGGGGGATGGGGTCTGGGAAGGAGTCCGGTCCATAGGGCACACGATACCTCCCTCCTCCTCCTCCTCCTCCTCCTCCTCCTCCTCCTCCTCCTCTGCCGGGTCCTGGCCCAGGGTCCGGACCGAAGCGGTCAGGGAAGGGGGGAGGAAACTCTGGGGGCCTCAGGAAGACGTTACACCGAGCCTCATAGTCCTCTGACAGAGGGAAAGAAGGAAAAGAGACGTAGACCAAAAATGACACTTTCCCCAAACTATAAACACAACACTGTTTAACAACAGAGCTACAATCTGCTTGTATCTTATGACAAAATGCTAACACAGCGGATTGTTCAATGTAAATACTCATCCACAATCAGCGTGGCCGTAGTAGCACATCAGTCTAGTAGTACCTGAGTCTCTGGGAGGACACAGAGCACACTGCAGTCCCCAGCCCTCTCCATACAGACAGCAGCACTCAGTGAAGGTGACCTGTCCGCCCAGCAGGGGGCTCTGACACACCAGGTCTGCCGTGACATACTGCCAGCAGAACGACAGGTTCTCATCTGGAGACAAGAGGGACGGAAATGAGGAGGGGAAGGGTGAGATGAAAAGAGAGACGGTTAGATGAATAAAAAGGAAGATGGAAAAAAGAGAGGCAAAGAAAGATGGAGAAAGGGAGGTGGGAAAAACAAGGGAAAGATATATGGGGAAAGGAGGAGAGAGAGAGAGAGAGAGAGAGAGAGAGATGGAAAACAGAGACAGTGAGAGAGATCTCACAGCTTGAGCTAATAAGTGAAATTTGAGTAGTGAGGACTCATAAGGTAAGAGTTATTGGGGACTCCTGTCTCCCAGTGTGTGTAGTCTTACCCACGGTGAGGCCAGTGGAATTGACACAGCTGCGCTGAGTGTCGTCCAACACAAGAGGTGGCTCGCAGGTACAGAAGTATGAGCCTAATGTGTTGACACAGATTCCTCCTGGACAGCTGTCCTCCCCTGCCTCACACTCATCAACATCTACCAGGAGAGAGAGAGAGAGAGCGAGAGCGGACATACGGTGGAGGAGGAGGAGGGCGGGAGAAGGGTCGGAGAGGGGGAGGAGGAGGGGAGAGCGAGAGCGGCGAGAGCGAGAGCGAGAGCGAGAGCGAGAGCGAGAGCGAGAGCGAGAGCGAGAGCGAGAGCGAGAGCGAGAGCGAGAGCGAGAGCGAGAGCGAGAGCGAGAGAGAGAGAGAGAGAGAGAGAGAGAGAGAGAGAGAGAGAGAGAGAGAAGATTTGAGCAACCTACCCATTATATACATCCATCTAATTCAACCACAATTATGAAGGCTGGGCCAAAACAGCCTAATATCACTGATAAAGATATGCCACTAACCGATGCACTCCAGAAACACATTATCGTAGTAGTAGCCACTGGTGCAGTAGCAGGAGTAGCCAGGGATGTTGTTGACACACACACCGCTCTTACACACCTCAGGGTGGAACAGCTTACACTCATCCACATCTGTGAGAGGAGACAAAGGCCTGGATTATAGGTACAGTACAGTATAAGCAATAAGTATGACTACAAAATCATGTGAGTCAAATAGGGGTGCTTATATTTGTCCTGTTTCACACACGTACAAGTGTGTGGTGTGAAATGTGTTTCTTGCCCTCAGAGAGTGGGGTCACAGCCATTATTGACCGAAACTCTGGAGAAATTAGAGTTAAGTGCCTTGCTCAAGGGCAGATCGACAGATTTTCCATTTAGTCGGCTCAGGGATTTGAACTAGCAACCTTTGAACTAGCAACCAACACTAACCTCCAGGCTACCTGCCGTGCGGATATGTGAGACAGTTACCTTTGTAGCTAAACGCTCCAGGCCCAGTCACATATCCTCGTCCGCTGGGGCACAACGCCTGGTGTTCGGCTGTACAGAACCCACAGTAAACAACAACACGACATATCAGAGATGAACACTTCACTACATCAGGGTTAGCTTTTTCTGAGTGGGTTGATAGGTGGAGGTGACTCCAGGAGTCTACCATAGACATACATATTCACTTTAGTCTTATACATAGACATATATCCCCTAGAGACCACAGGAGGCTGCTGAGGGGAGAACAGCTCATAATAATTGCCAGAACGGAGCAAATGGTAACCATGTATTTGATACCATTCCACTCATTCCGCTTCAGCCATTACCACGATCCCCAATTAAGGTGCCACCAACCTCCTGTGCTAGAGACATATTCACTATAGTCATACCATAGACATACTATTCACATCAGTGTTGATCACTGGTCCCTACCTGTGCCTAGCTGAGGACAGGGGTCGTACTGGCAGCCCGTGCCCCAACCCTGACCCACGGTGCAGCAGCACTCCTGCTGGGTGGTGTTGTGGGCCAGCACGCTGCACGAGCTCTGCTCCTCTGTGTTGTAGTAGCACTCCCTCAACTCGCCAGGCCGGGCCGGGGGAAGCTGGGACGCATCGGGCCGACGCTGGGGACCCAGACCGGTGGTGGAGGAAGACGAGGAAGAGCCGCCTGGGAACAATGGATGACCTGTGAGACACGTGGATGTGATGTTTGAGGGTTGAGGTGTGTGTGGTTATGGCTGCGTTGCTGACCACCAAGACAATATAGTGTTCCCTCATGAACAGCAGGGGGAAGCAACACCAAGCTGTTTGAATGGACACCTGTTGAAGAGGTCTCACCAAACTCACCATGCACAAACTGATGTTAAATGGCAATAGAACTGTGATGGCATTTGTAGGAATGAACATTTGAAGCAGGGAAAGTGTCATTCCCATCAGGGAGTAGAAATGTATATTTTAGTATGGTGAAAAATAGATATCTAGATAATCCTCGAAATGCAAAATAGTGGTGGACAGTGTACAGTACCTGGTCGAGGCATGCTGAGGCACTGTCCTGAGCGCGTATCAAACTCTTCCCCCTCTCCTGGACACTCACACATGAAGGAGCCATCCACATTCTCACAGCGCGCTGCGCCACACACGCCCTGCATAGTCTCACACTCGTTTTCATCTAGAGAGAGAGAGAGAGATAGATAGAAAGAGAGAGATAGATAGACAGAAAGAGAGAGATAGAGAGAAAGAGAAAGAGAGAGAAAAAGAGAGATAGAGAGAGAGCGAAAGGGAGAAAGAGAGTGAGTGAGCGAGAGAAAGAGGGAGGGAGAGCGAGCGAGAGAGAGAGAGAAAGAAAGAGAAATATGGGGTGAAAAGGTCAAACCATGTAGTCTAAATCAAGCAAAGACAATGACAGATGATAGGACAGTAGAATGGTAGCGTTTGCACTCTTATCAGAGACTTGTGCATCTGTGTTGAGACGTACCCACACATCCCTTCCCATTGCTGGTGGCTGTGTAGCCCTGGTCACACATGCACTGGTATGTTCCAATTAGGTTCTGGCAGAATGCATGCTCTCCGCATACTGTCTCATTGGCACACTCATTGATATCTGTGAGAGAGAAGACGAAACAGAAGTGGAGAGAGAGATTACATCACTCCTATATGAATCTGAAGTATGGTCTCAAGTATGGTCACTGTCAATATTATAGTTAGAAAGATAAACTTGATTAAAGTATTTAAAGGTATAAAGCAATAGTCAGTGAAGACAATACAGTGAGATAGATCCCTAGCTCTTTTTCACTCTGTGTGTGTGTGTTACAGATGCATATCTTGGCAAGGAAAGGCGAACGGCATTCTTGTGACTGAGCATCTGTGCGGTGCAAGCCTCCAACCTGACACATCAATCAAACACAGCTGCCATGACGACCAACCCCTTACGCCCCCGGCCTCAGCCTGGATCCCACATCTGTGTCCAACCTGCCAATCATTCCTACACAAACTATCATGGCTAAACTGTAGCGTAGAATCAGATAATTTCAAAATAAATAAAGTGGATTAATAAATACGAGAAGAATAACAAGTCGATTCTCGCTATGTGGACTAGATGTAGTAAAGGATGAAGTCGATGAGGTTGATGAAGAGATGGAACTGACCGACACACTCTCCGGTGCGGGTGACCCGGTAGCCCGGCTCACAGGAGGTGATACAGCGGTAGGAGCCAATGGTGTTCTCACAACGCCGTGACAGACACACTGCTCCCTCTGAGCACTCATCTACATCTGGGATAGAGAGAGTGGGGATTACACACACACACACACATAAGCGCGTGCACACACACGCAAACTTCAGCATCCCCATAGCTCAGTCTCGAAAGCGGTGCGTATTACATAAAGGGACACATGGTTTCATAAGGAACACAAGTTTTCAATGATCTGTCTATGGTGGATGATGAACAGTGCAGAGTAGTTGAGGTGTTGAGTTACCCAGACAGGCTGTCTTTTCTGGGTTGGTGGTGAATCCCACTTGGCACTGGCACTGGTAGGAGCCCTCTGTGTTGACACAGCGCCCGTCCTGGCACACCCCCGGGCCTGACCTGGCACACTCATCCACATCTGGGCACGCAATGACAACACGCCATTACATCACCACAGACAACCCCGCTGTCCCTACTGCCAAGCTAAGCAATCCTTTACCATGACGTTGTGCCCATGTCGTTTCACTTGATGTCATTCACTGTGTGAGAGGCTTTGAGTAATATAATCTGTGTCAAGTAGCCTATTTGTGATTATAATTATAAGTGATTACTATTAAAGCCCTGCTAAGAGTTGTTACAGTTGAAATTGCAGAGTAAAAATATATGTTGTGTCTCTGTCATGAATAGAGACATCTCCATTCTGCCGGTTTAAGAGTAGCCTACAGTAATGCCAGTGGGACTTCGGTATGTGTGTGAGAGACGGTGGTGACGCCTCACCCAGGCAGGAGCTGCCATTGCTGCTTGTGGTGTAACCCTGGGAACACACACAGCGGTAGGAGCCCTCTGTGTTCACACACTCTCCCTTGGGGAAGCAGTACTCCCCCTCTAGACACTCATTGATGTCTGTGAAAAGACAAGACAACCACGCTACAATATGACACAGAAAAGAACATCAACACGCAGTGTGGTATATACATTATCAAAGAACATCACCAACATTGTAGCATTCATCACCATCATCATCATTATCAGTACTGACCTCTACATTGGCGTCCAAGGCCAGCGGTTCTGTAGCCTGGTTGACAGTCACAGCGGTAGGAGCCATCAGTGTTTAAACACAGCCTCTCTGAACCACAGGTGTCAGGGCTCTGGCATTCATCCACATCTGAGGAAGGGAGAGGGGAATGCTCATTGGTACTGCAAGAGGGTTGCACATGCACACACGCACACACACACACCTCTGCTTCATGTATAGGGTCTTTCTGTTCCCCCTAAAAGGGGTTAAACAGCTTTCAAGTGGTTTCTCTTAAATCAACACAGCACCAATTGGTTCTGTCTCTTATGGATATAACCTTTTGACAGTGAAACCTCTCCAAAGAGACATCCATCCATTCCCAAGTGTTACATCCATTCCTAAGGTGTTTCTGATTTACACGCTATCCCCTTTGAAGTCTAAACATCTGTTGCAGACTCTGTTGGTCCATATCAGCCCAGTCCAACAGCCAGACTTGAATACCTCGGAGTGATTTTCATGTGCTCTGGATATCACAGCATGGATAAAGTGCTGACTGACAGTGAACTGTGAAAGAAACAGTACATTCATATGCATTTTAAAGTGGTCTCTGTTTTTTTTTAGGTAGAGGCAATGCACCCAAGTGGGATGGAGCACGGTGTCCTGAAATTATACTAGGGCTGATGATTTGTGTGCCCCACAGAAAAAAACGCTTGGTAGGAGTAACAGAAGCCAGCAAAGGTGAAGTGTGCAGAGCAGTGGAGAGGAATGCAGAGGAGAGCGCTGACAGCAGTGTGCAACTGGGGCTACAAGGCTAATGGGTGGTCACCCCCTTCGCTCACTCATCACCTACAGTAAGATAATGGAAAAGTGCCCGGTCACACTGCTCTATGCAGTTTATATAAACAGCTGTTGGAACAGCTTGATTCAGCAGGAAACTTTAGTATTGTTACTGTTTTAGTCAAGCTGCCTCACCAATAACACCAACAGTGTTAGAAATGTGATTGTCTGAATCTATAAAGCAGTATGAATGGAATGCAATCTCAAACGGAAGGCATGTGAAAAAGAGTTTGGTGCTAATTTCGGTCTGGTGAGAAGCATCTCCTGTTACATTCTGCAGAGTTGAACATTGACTCATTTAATCTCTTTGAAAATGTGTTTCCTCATTAGACTGAAATTTACCATGGTTAACAAATCACCTCCTCCCCTTGGCCGTAAAAGAGCCATGGCATTCCTTCCCAGAAACAATTGCAGCAAGTGTGAGAGCAGTAAAACACCTTGAAAAAACATGTAGACTACATGGACAGAATGCCTTGAATTTACTTCATATTCTGCCATATTCTAATAGACAGCTAGTCTTACCTGCGCATACCCCATCTTGCATAACGTGGCCAGCTTTGCAGGCGATACACTTGTAGGAGCCTTCAGAATTGACACACTGTTGCCCGGGACACTGTGAGGGGTCTTCACATTCATCAATGTCTAAAATGAAGCAAGTGGAGGTTACACATCAAACAGAGTGATATGGAGCATGAGACATCATGTAAAACATGAAAGACATGCAATAGTCAGACACATGCAGCCTTACCATTACAGATGCTGTCCTGTAGTTTGAACCCGGTGTGACAAACACACTGGTAGCTACCGGGAGTGTTTTCACAGCGACCGTTGGTACAGCGGTTGGAGGACTGGCGACACTCATCGATATCTGTGTGAAAAATATCAATATCAGTACTGATACAATTTTCAATATCGAATAAAAATGGGTGAGTGCGTGTGTGTTTTGTCTCTGTGTGTGTGGTTGAGAAGGCTGTTCACCTGTACACTGTCCGTTTCCAGCCTCAAAGCCTGTTCTACAGGCCACACATTTGAAGGAGCCTTCAAAGTTGACACACTCCTGACCAGGACACTGTAGAGCGTTCTCACACTCATTGACATCTGGAGAAGCCAACAGAGATTCTTCTTTACAATCCCATAAATAAAGTTGACAGAACAAAGGCCATTTCTAGTAGTATTTTACTTTATTATGTGCTAAGGAAAGTCATACATTTGACTGCTCTTTATCAGTTGAAGTAATGTGTATGTTCAATGTGAAGTCTTACCTGTGCAGGTATTACCCTGTAGCCTGAAGCCAGATCGGCACGCACACTTGTAGCTTCCAGCCGTGTTCTCACAACGGCCGTTAGCACAGGAAGTGGGGCTATGGAGGCACTCATCAACATCTGCAAAAACAAAAAAAAATGTGTGCTTACAAATGTCTTATTGTGTAAGTGATCAGCTCTACATGTATTAGTGTTGATAGAGCCCATGTTGAGTCCTACCTGAGCATTGTCCATTGACCAGCTGAAAGCCTGTCTTGCAGGACACACACTTGTAGCTTCCAGCCGTATTCTCACAACGACCATTAGCACAGGGAGTGGGGCTCCGAAGACACTCATCAACATCTGCAAAGAAAAGAAGGTGAAGAACACGTGTGCCGTTGTCTGTAATCGCTCAAATGTATTGGTGTTGATAAAGGCCATGTTGTGTCCTACCTGTGCATTGTCTGTTGACCAGCCCAAAGCCTGGTTTGCAGGACACACACTTGTATGAGCCCTGGAAGTTCACACACTCCTGACCAGGGCACTGGGATGGGTCTGCACACTCATCCACGTCTGTACAGGTATCACTGTGTCGTCTGTACCCAGTGAGACACACACAGCTGTAGCTGCCCTGGGTGTTCTCACAGTGACCATTGATGCATGAGCTGGGGGTCTGACGACACTCATCTATATCTGTAGGAATGGAGAGGAGATATAAGAGATTGCTGAAAGGTAGCATAAATGGATGGAGACACACAGATATACCTCAGAACACACACAGACAATGGGATTTTACCTGAGCATTGTCCATTGATCATGCCGAAGCCTGGCTTGCAAGACACACAGTTGAAAGAACCCTGAGAGTTGACACAGGCCTGACCAGGACACCTCAAAAAGTCCTCACACTCATCCACATCTAAAACAGATAGAGCCAGAGCATTAATAGTCAGGCAGGATTTGTTTTACATAGATTGAAAGTTCCTTTTGCTGACATGTTCAAAAGAGGGTATGTACGTAATAATTTGGTGGAGTCATCGCTCGTACCTGTGCAGGCCTTGCCTTGTAGTTTGTATCCCGTGTGGCAAACACACCTGTAACTCCCAGGAGTGTTCTCACAACGACCATTGGTGCAAAGGCTGGGGGTCTGACGGCACTCGTCAACATCTACAACAGGGGGCGACAGAGACAGATAGTGCCCTCTATCAAACAGCCTGCGGAGAATTCTACTGAAACGTATGTGGTTTTGTGTATGACTGCTTCAGGACAAGGAGTGTTACCTGAGCATTGTTCGTTGACCAGCCCAAAGCCTGGCGGGCAAGACACACACTTGTATGATCCTGGAGAGTTGACACAGGCCTGACCAGGACACCTCAAGGGGTCCTCACACTCATCCACATCTGGGGAAAGAGAGAGTGATAGACAGGGACAGGAAGTTGAATATGTCTGACTGACCAATAGTATCATTTCACAAACATCACACAATCTTTGATGAGACAATATACAGTGGGGAGAACAAGTATTTGATACACTGCCGATTTTGCAGGTTTTCCTACTTACAAAGCATGTAGAGGTCTGTAATTTTTATCATAGGTACACTTCAACTGTGAGAGACGGAATCTAAAACACAAATCCAGAAAATCACATTGTATGATTTTTAAGTAATTAATTTGCATTTTATTGCATGACATAAGTATTTGATCACCTACCAACCAGTAAGAATTCCGGCTCTCACAGACCTGTTAGTTTTTCTTTAAGAAGCCCTCCTGTTCTCAACTCATTGCCTGTATTAACTGCACCTGTTTGAACTCGTTACCTGTATAAAAGACACCTGTCCACACACTCAATCAAACAGACTCCAACCTCTCCACAATGGCCAAGACCAGAGAGCTGTGTAAGGACATCAGGGATAAAATTGTAGACCTGCACAAGGCTGGGATGGGCTACAGGACAATAGGCAAGCAGCTTGGTGAGAAGGCAACAATTGTTGGCGCAATTATTAGAAAATGGAAGAAGTTCAAGATGACGGTCAATCACCCTCAGTCTGGGGCTCCATGCAAGATCTCAGCTCGTGGGGCATCAATGATCATGAGGAAGGTGAGGGATCAGCCCAGAACTACACGGCAGGACCTGGTCAATGACCTGAAGAGAGCTGGGACCACAGTCTCAAAGAAAACCATTAGTAACACACTACGCCGTCATGGATTAAAATCCTGCAGCGCACGCAAGGTCCCCCTGCTCAAGCCAGCGCATGTCCAGGCCCGTCTGAAGTTTGCCAATAACCATCTGGATGATCCAGAGGAGAAATGGGAGAAGGTCATGTGGTCTGATGAGACAAAAATAGAGCTTTTTGGTTTAAACTCCACTCGCTGTGTTTGGAGGAAGAAGAAGGATGAGTACAACCCCAAGAACACCATTCCAACCGTGAAGCATGGAGGTGGAAACATCATTCTTTGGGGATGCTTTTCTGCAAAGGGGACAGGACGACTGCACCGTATTGAAGAGAGGATGGATGGGGCCATGTATCACGAGATCTTGGCCAACAACCTCCTTCCATCAGTAAGAGCATTGAAGATGGGTCGTGGCTGGGTCTTCCAGCATGACAACAACCCAAAACACACAGCCAGGGCAACTAAGGAGTGGCTCCGTAAGAAGCATCTCAAGGTTCTGGAGTGGCCTGGCCAGTCTCCAGACCTGAACCAAATAGAAAATCTTTGGAGGGAGCTGAAAGTCCGTATTGCCCAGCGACAGCCCCGAAACTTGAAGGATCTGGAGAAGGTCTGTATGGAGGAGTGGGCCAAAATCCCTGCTGCAGTGTGTGCAAACCTGGTCAAGACCTACAGGAAACGTATGATCTCTGTAATTGCAAACAAAGGTTTCTGTACCAAATATTAAGTTCTGCTTTTCTGATGTATCAAATACTTATGTCATACAATAAAATGCAAATTAATTACTTAAAAATCATACAATGTGATTTTCTGGATTTGTGTTTTAGATTCCGTCTCTCACAGTTGAAGTGTACCTATGATAAAAATTACAGACCTCTACATGCTTTGTAAGTAGGAAAACCTGCTAAATCAGCAGTGTATCAAATACTTGTTCTCCCCACTGTATACAGTACAGTAGCTTCGGTAGTGAAATAATGTTGAATAGATGTAGAGATAGCTATCTTACCTTTACATGTGTTGCCCTCTAGTTTGTACCCAGTGCGGCAGACACACTTGAAGCTACCAGGGCTATTCTCACAGCGGCCATTGTTACAGGGGTTCGGAACCTGACGACACTCGTCAATATCTGTGCCACAAAAAGTGTGTCCTTTACTCAAAGACTTGACAGTTAACAGTTATCTATTTTCTTATAGAATGATCAACGAGGACTAATGTACAGCTATCATAATCGACATAACGTTCCTTATAATAATCACAATCATGTTAGTAATACTTATTGACTGCTGATGTTGGAATCCTATGTTGAGTACGCGTCTGTTACCTTGACACTGCGTCTGTTGGAAGTTGGCTCTGTAGCCAGCAGGACACACACATCTGTAGCTGCCTGGTGTATTCTCACACTCCCCAACAGAACAGGGACTGAGAGTCTGGAGGCACTCATTGACATCTAGAGATACACGTGAAAAAATTAAAAGAATTGACCAGAGTACCAGACCCCATTTCCTAATCGTTGACCTCCAAGTAGAACACAAGGCATTCCAGGGGGATGCAAGAAGGTATTTCTCTATACCCAACGAGACAGAGTAGCTGTTGTCTGAATAAACGCACAGCTGCTGTGACCAGCGACTATGTGTGTGTGAGTGTGTTTGTGTGTGTACAGTGGGGTCTGTACCTATACAGCTGGTGTGCTGGGGTCCCGGCTGGTATCCTGAGGGGCAGCTACACCTGTAGCCCCCTTCTGTGTTCTGGCAGCGGCCACTGCCACAGGGCTGGGGAGACGTCCTGCACTCGTCTATGTCTGAAAATAAAGAGGGATGAGAGGAAGAGGGGATGAGTGGGGTTAAAGAGGTCAAGAGGAGCCTGACCAACCCTGCAGGTTGCAATCAAGCTACCCCTCAGGGAATGGGAATGTAGTGAGATGCTTGAGGTACCGTAACCAGCCTGAAACTGACTCATCCATAATGACTATCACATGTTCAATGACCGCACACTATAAATACAGCTGAGGCTCAGTATAGCATCAGGAATAGCCAACATTGGGCTGTGTATGTGTGTGTGTTTGATGCTTCCCAATAGTAGTTAAGTAGTTTAACTAGCAACAGTGCCCTAGCAAAACAACATTCACCTTGACAATCAGTCTGCTGAGCGTTGAGTTGGTATCCCTCGTTACAGATGCAGGTATATCTCCCTCCGGGCTGGTCCACACAACGGCCCTGTCCACACACCTGGGGCATGGTCTCACACACACCACGCACTGGACGCCCAATCAGATGCATGTAGACGCACGTACACAGATACGCACATTTAGTTGGCTTGTTTGTCACCGTTTCAAAAAGGATTCCAAAGTGTGATCTTAGTTGTCGTCTCATCCATATGAGCCGTCAGAGGCCGTGAGAGGGAAGAGGGGCAAATACAGCCACGGATAATTGAGTGAGGAGGATCTGATCTCATCTGGGTGCCTGATCTCTGTTTACATTGGAGAGCTGAACAATGAATCTCTGGCGTACACTCATCCCATTCCACACTCTTTGAAAAAAGGGTTCCAAAACGGTTATTTGGCTGTCCCCATAGGAGAACCCTTTTTGGTTCCAGGTAGAACTCTTTTGGGTTCCATGTAGAACTCTCTGTGGAAAGGGTTCTAACATGGAACTCAAAAGGGTTTTACCCAGAACCAAAAAGGGTTCTTTAAAGGGTTCTCTTATGGGGACAACCCTTATAGGTTCTAGATAGCACTTGTTCTTTCTTCAAAGAGTGCAGCTCACATATTTTTCAGGGACCCATTATGAGGATTTATAGAGTCTCAGAACTCACTTGTTATGGGTCAGATTCAAGGCTGTGAGCATAATAGTGTTAAATTCCATGTTACAGCACAAACCTGGCACCTTGCTCACGAGATAAAAGTTAGCAGCTCGTTGACAGCCCCGCCTTGAGATTCAAACCTGCCAACATGTGATAAACTAACAGTCCGGTGGTGAGCAGTTGGCTCACATTAGGCGAAAGATTTGCGCCACAAACAGAGCATTGTACCCATCTGGTTACTGCTTATATCTTGAGCCAGAGTTGCTGGATTGGTCTGTGTGAAAGTATTCCCTCTTTGAATCTCTCTTTGTATTGCAAAGAAATACATTAAAGAATGTAAAACGCCTTTTATCAACTGAGGTTTTGAAGTTGAGGTGTGCGTGTGTGTGTGTGAGGGACAGGGTCGACTAAGTACTCTAGTGGTGCCAGAAAAGGCCAGAGCCAGAAACACATCTGATGTCTTTGAAGGTGGATAAAACCACCAGTAAAAAATCGACGCCACCAGAGCATTCAACTCCATCTACCCATGATTCTTAAGCACTCATTATTCTGGTGCATTTGAAATGTGAACTTATGCTTTCAAGTGCTGTCACATAAAATGAAAGCAAAAAGGACACAGGAAGACCAGTTGTCATACTTCAATGGAGAACTTTGAGCTTTTCTCACTCCACAATACAGACTCCAAACTATATGCTTCTTTGTTCTTGAGTCAGGTGTGGAGTACAATAGTTAAGAGTTCTAATAGGAAATGACATGGAGTTGGCAGTGTGAGAAGCTAGAAAGTTGAACCAACGTTTATCTGAAGTTGACCTAATCTTGGAGCCATTACTATATCAAGATGAAACACATTGTGGTTGTGGTGTATGGTTTACGGTACCTGGCCTTGGGATGGGTGGGCGGGGCGTGACCGGAGACGGGAGGGGCTGGGCAGGTCTCACTGGAGATACTGGCCGTCGGTCAACTGGAGGCCGTTGAGTCTGAGTGGGGGGCCGAGCTGGAGAAACCAAAACAGGACATAAACATTTACTGAGATTGTTTAGACGCATTAGAGCTTTCGCTTGTTGAGAAGAGGCAGCTTGCTGTGAATTGTCTTTCTCACAGCCTTTTGGACACAAAACATCAAAATATTAAACATTGTAATTCTGTCTCAATAGTTGATGTTGCTATGTGGAAATGAGAAGAGCATATGGGTTTGATTCCAAAACGTGATAAATGCAAAAAAATAAAATTGAATTATGGCTGTTCTCATACTTTAAAACATTTACTTTAAATGTGCTTTAGAATGTGTTTTTTTGCAAAACGTGATATCCGTATTGTTTCATACAAAAAAATGCGCTATATTCACAGCCATGTATTTAGAGAGTTGGGACATTATGATGCATTTAAATGTCACTACAACATTCTATGGCAGCCATGTTAGCTCCGGTTAACAGAATGAGCATTATGATGCATTTACATGACACTTAAAAATTATATGGCAGCCATGTTAGCACCCCATTAACATTAGGCTACTTGGGGAATATATATAAAAAAAAACTATGTAACTGAATGTCTAGAATTCTAAAAGTTGGCCCAACTCCCTAAATATATTGATCTGGCTATATCCACTGTACAGATGGCTGAAATAATCCATATGGTTTTTGCCGCTGGTGCAAAAGTGAGTCATTTAGCGAATCATTTCCATTATATTTGTCTGTTTAGTCGTAAGTTAGGTTTCTCTAAATATTTTTTCCAACACTTAGGAACGTAATCAGAACCTTATATTTTTTATTTAGGCTAACCCCTGGCTTAGTCAGCTGGATGCGGTAATAGACAGCTGTCACTCAGCTGTTCGCGTGCTGGCTAGTTGCTACCTAGCGTTACGTTAGCATTGAGCTCTTGAGTGTCATGGACCTTTTGATTATGGATCCCTTGGACAGTTTTTAGCCTGTTATATCTGTTCCTGTTGGCCAAAAGAGGTCACTTTCTAAACAAGCCCATGAAAAGGAGAGCACATATAAGAAAGAAAGCACATATACAGGCCCGTCTGAAGTTTGCCAACGAACATCTGAATGATTCAGAGGAGAACTGGGTGAAAGTGTTGTGGTCAGATGAGACCAAAATTGAGCTCTTTGGCATCAACTCAACTCGCCGTGTTTGGAGGAGGAGGAATGCTGCCTATGACCCCAAGAACACCATCCCCACCATCAAACATGGAGGTGGAAACATTATGCTTTGGGGGTGCTAAGGGGACAGGACAACTTCACCGCATCAAAGGGACGATGGACGGGGCCATGTTCCGTCAAATCTTGGGTGAGAACTCCTTCCCTCAGCCAGGGCATTGAAAATGGGTTGTGGATGGGTGTTCTAGCATGACAATGACCCAAAACACATGGCCAAGGCAACAAAGGAGTGGCTCAAGAAGAAGGGCATTAAGGTCCTGGAGTGGCCTAGCCAGTCTCCAGATCTTAATCCCATAGAAAATCTGTGGAGGGAGCTGAAGGTTCGAGTTGCCAAATGTCAGCCTCGAAACCTTAATGACTTGGAGAAGATCTGCAAAGAGGAGTGGGACAAAATCCCTCCTGAGATGTGTGCAAACCTGGTGGCCAACTACAAGAAACGTCTGACCTCTGTGATTGCCAACAAGGGTTTTGCCACCAAGTACTAAGTCATGTTTTGCAGAGGGGTCAAATACTTATTTCCCTCACTAAAATGCAAATCAATTAATAACATTTTTGACATGCGTTTTTCTGTATTTTTTTGTTCTGATTCTGTCTCTCACTGTTCAAATAAACCTACCATTAAAATTATAGACTGATCATGTCTTTGTCAATGGGCAAACGTACAAAATCAGCAGGGGATCAAATACTTTTTTCCTCACTGTACCAGCCTCAGAAATTGCAGCCCAAATAAATGCTTCACAGAGTTCAAGTAACAGACACATCTCAACATCAACTGTTCAGAGGGGACTGTGTGAATCAGGCCTTCATGGTTGAATTGCTGTAAAGAAACCACTACTAAAGGACACCAATAAGAAGAAGAGACCTGCTTGGGCCAAGAAACACAAGCAATGGACATTAGACCGGTGGAAATTTGTCCTTTGGTCAGGAGTCCAAATTGGATTTCTGGTTCCAACCGCTGTGTCTTTGTGAGACGCGGTGTGGGTGAACGGATGATCTCCGCATGTGTATTTCCCACTGTAAAGTATGGAGGAGGAGGAGGAGTTATGGTGTGGGGGTGCTTTGCTGGTGACACTGTCTGTGATTTATTTAAAATTCAAGGCACACTTAACCAGCATGGCTACCACAGCATTCTGCAGCGATACGCCATCCCATCTGGTTTGGGCTTAGTGGGACTATCATTTGTTTTTCAACGGGACAATGACCCAACACACCTTCAGGCTGTGTAAGGGCTATTTTACCAAGAAGGAGAGTGATGGATTGCTGCATCAGATGATCTGGCCTCCACAATCCCCCAACCTCAACCCAATTGAGATGGTTTGGGATGAGTCGGACTACAGAGTGAAGGAAAAGCAGCCAACAAGTGCTCGGCATATGTGGGAACTCCTTCAAGACTGTTGGAAAAGCATTCCAGGTGAAGCTGGTTAAGAGAATGCCAAGAGTGTGCAAAGCTGGCATCAACACAAAGGGTGGCTATTTGAAGAATCTCAAATATAAAATATATTTTAACACTTTTTTGTTCACCACATGATTCCATATGTGTTATTTCATAGTTGTGATGTCTACACTATTATTCTACAATGTAAAAAATAGTACGAATAAAGAAAAACCCTTGAATGAGTGGGTGTGTCCAAACTTTTGACTGGTACTGTATTATTTAGTGTGAAATTAGTTTTGATTCAAAATTGACCATTATCATGCACCTGTCTCGGAACAGGGGAAGGGGGAAAAAAGACATGTCATCTGGAGGACGCTTTTCCCATGGTTAATTTTCATGCCAACCAGGTAAGCTATACTCCTGTTGTAAAGCGAAGCAATGTGCTTAATATTAGGAAAGTTGAGAAATAAATATAGTAGGCCTAGCCTATAGAAAGCTGATGGGATCCTCCTCTTTTTAATAGAGTCCATCAAAACTATTCTGTTTTCTCATACATTTGCTAGCCTATAGAATTTTTGCGCAACATGAGCTCACGGTCTCTCATGACGTGTTTGATTTGATTTTCGATAACATTTGCATTGATGTCAGAGTGATTAGAGGGACAATAGTGTGCTGAGTACCAGGCAGTTAGCAAGTTTGGTAGGCTACTAATGGCCATCAGCAGCATCAGAGCTTGGAGAAGCCTAGTTACCGTGACTAAACGGTCATGTGGAATTTGACTGCGGTCATGACTCGTGACTGCCGGTGTGGCGGGAATACGGTCACCGTAACAGTCCTATATAAGATGTGTTTTTAATTAATGTCAATTTACAAACATTTCTGAAAATGGATATATCGCATTTTTGGAATGAAACTCTTCACTGTACGTTGAGGAATCTCCTTAAGGTTGCTAGGGATTATTGTCTGCTCACCTGTCACCACCCGGGTGGGTCCTGCTGTAACAGAGCTGGCTGGGATGTGTGGTCTGCCCTGTGGGGACAGGGAGCCTCCACTCGATGGCTGTTGGGGTCTGGTCTGAGGGGTGAGAGCTCTACCACCTGGCTGTTGGGGTCTGGTCGGAGTGGTGAGCAGAGTAGTGCTACCTGGTTGTTGCGGTCTAGTTTGGGGAGTGAAAGAGCCTGAGCTTGAAGGTTGTTGGGGCCTGGTTATAGGAGTGAGAGAGGCTGAGTTTGAAGATTGTTGGGGCCTAGTTTGGGGAGTCAGTGCACCACTGCTTGAAGGTTGTTGGGATCCAATTTGCGGAGTGAGAGGGCCTGAGCTTGATGGTTGCTGGGGTCTCGTCAGAGTGGTGAGCAGAGTAGTGCTACCTGGTTGTTGTCGCCTTGTCTGTGGGGTGCTCTGGGATATGACAGGGGGACCTCCAGTCCCATGCTGCTCCACCACCCTCTGGTTGAACTTGATGGCAGAGGCAGAGTAGTGGTAGCCAGGCCCTGCTGGGCAGATGTCCTTGAAAGCAACTGTCAGGAGCAAACAGAGAACACCACAAGCAGGATTCAATTAGTTAGTGTGTTTCATACCCATATACACTACCAGTCAAAAGTTTGGACACACCTACTCATTCAATGGTTTTTCTTTATTTTTACTATTTTTTACATTGTAGAATAATAGTGAAGACATCAAAACTATGAAATTACACATATGGTATCATGTAGTAACCCAAAAAGTGTTAAACAAATCAAAATATATTTTATATTTGAGATTCTTCATTTAGCCACTCTTTGCCTTGATGACAGCTTTTCACACTCTTGGCATTCTCTCAACCAGCTTCATGAGGTAGTCACCTGGAATGCATTTCAATTGTGCCTTCTTAAAAGTTAATTTGTGGAATTTATTTCCTTCTTAATGCGTTTGAGCCAATCAGTTGTGTTGTGACAAGGTCAAGTGGGTATACAGAAGATAGCCCTATTTGGTAAAAGATCAAGTCCATATTATGGCAAGAACAGCTCAAATAAGCAAAGAGAAACGACAGTCCGTCATTACTTTAAGACATGAAGGTGAATCAGGCCTTCATGGTCGAATTGCTGCAAAGAAACCACTACCAAAGGACACCAATAAAAAGAAGAGACCTGCTTGTGCCAAGAAACACGAGCAATGGACATCAGACCGGTGAAAATGTGTATTTTGGTCTGGAATCCAAATTGGAGATTTTTGGTTCCAACCGCCGTGTCTTTGTGAAAATTGGTGTGGGTGAACGGATGATCTCTGCATGTGTATTTCCCACCGTAAAGCATGGAGGAGGAGGTGTTATGGTGTGGGGGTGCTTTGCTGGTGACACTGTCTGTGATTTATTTAGAATTCAAGGCACACTTAACCAGCATGGGTACCACAGCAGTCTGCAGCGATACGCCATCCCATCTGGTTTGGGCTTAGTGGGACTATCATTTATTTTTCAACAAGATAATGATCCAACACACCTCCAGGCTGTGTAAGGGCTATTTTACCAAGAAGGAGAGTGATGGAGTGCTGCATCAGATGACCTGGCCTCCACAATCCCCCGACCTCGACCCAATTGAGATGGTTTGGGATGAGTCGGACCACAGAGTGAAGGAAAAGCAGCCAACAAGTGCTCAGCATATGTGGGAACTCCTTGAAGACTGTTGGAAAAGCATTCCAGGTGAAGCTGGTTGAGAGAATGCCAAGAGTGTGCAAAGCTGTCATCAAGGCAAAGGGTGGCTATTTGAAGAATCTCAAATATAAAATATATTTTGATTTGTTTAACACTTTTTTGGTTACATGATTCCATATGTGTTATTTCCTAGTTTTGATGTCTTCACTATTATTCTACAATGTAGAAAATAGTAAAAATAAAGAAAAACCCTGGAATGAGTAGGTGTGTCCAAACGTTTGACTGGTACTGTATATACACACATACCTGTACATACATTTGTAATTGTAATATAATGCCATTCTCTTATATACTGAACAAAAATATAAACGCAACATGTAACAATTTCAAAGATTTACTGAGTTACAGTTCATATAAGGCATTCAGTCAATTCAAATAAATTCATTAAGCCCTAATCTATGGATTTCACATGACTGTGAATACAGATATATATCTATTGGTCACAGATAGCTGCGTGGATTAGAAAACCAGTCAGTATCTAGTGTGACAACCATTTGCCTCATGTAGCGCGACACATCTCTTTCGCATAGAATTGTGGCCTATGGAATGGTGTCCCACTCCTCTTCAATGGCTGTGCGAACACGCTGTCGTACACAACAATCCAGAGCATCCCAAACATGCTCAACGGGTGACATGTCTGGTGAGTATGCAGGCCATGGAAGAACTGGGACATTTTCAGCTTCCAGGAATTGTGTACAGATCCTTGCGAAATGGTGCCGTGCATTATCATGCTGAAACATGATTTGATGGCGGCAGATGAATGGCACGACAATAGGCATCAGGATCTCGTCACGGTATCTCTGTGTATTCAAATTGTTTTTTTGTCCGTAGCTTATGCCTGCCCATACCATAAACCCACCACCATGGGGCACTCTGTTCACAACGTTGACATCAGCAAACCATTCGCCCACACAACGCCATACACGTGGTCTGCGGCTGTGAGGCCGGTTGGACGTACTGCCAAATTCTCTAAAACGACATGGTAGAGAAACATTCTCTGGCAACAGCTCTGGTGCACATTCCTGCAGTCAGCATGCCAATTGCACACTCCCTCAAAACTTGAGACATCTGTGGAATTGTGTTTGGTGCAAAACTGTACATTTTAGTGGCATTTTATTGCCCCCAGCACAAGGTGCATCATGCCTTTTAAATTTGAGAGAAATAAGCTTTTTGTGCGTATGGATATTTTTTGGGATCTTTTATTTCAGCTCATGAAACATGGGACCAACACTTTACATGTTGTGTTTATATTTTTGTTCAGTGTATATATTGTGACATAGGCAGATGTTAACACTGGGCACTAGCTGCATTATAATTATCCAATGCCGGACCAGTATGATGGGGGGGGGGGGGGTTTGAATCAGAATAGGTCACCTGATCCAAAGTAGGGACACCTCTCACAGTTCTTGCCCCAGGCCTTGCCCACCCGGCTGCAGCAGCAGATCGGCTTGGTGATGTTCCTGAGGATGGGCACGGAGCAGCTACCAGGGCCAGAGCCAGAGTTCAGGATACGATAGCACTGGCCCTTATCCTCCGAGATCACCTTATGAGCTGCAAGAGGAGGACAGGGTGAGGACATGCCAATGGGAGAATGGTGGAGAGAAGATAGCGGTATTATAGCCATACAGAAACAGCTTCATGTCTCAAAAGGCCTCAAGCAAAAGAAGACACCAAACCCAACATGCAGGCCCAACACATGCTGATTGTTGATTGACACATAATCTTGAAGTATAACGCTGCTGTACTCTTCGTCTTTGCTTTTTGTGTCACAATTAGTGTCAATTCTGGTAGGCATTCTGTTGCTTTAGTTGGGTTAAGAAACATAAATATTCAACTGAAGACAGACAATGAGTTGCAGAAGTACCTCACGTCAGAAAAAATAAGAAACGTCAGGATTTATCGCTGTTAAACCCTCGATTCAGATAGCAAGAAAACAGAAAAGCTGAAAGCATTCCCATGACCTTTTTGGTAACACATTATTTAAAGATGACCGCTCAGAGTCAACGTTGCACAAAACAGACAGCTTCCAACAGTTAGAGCCAAGAGCTGGGGAGGACTGGATAGCGAGGGAGCCCCCAGACAAGCAGATGCAAACTGTGTCAGATCCAAAGGCAACACACAGCCCAACCAGCATTTCAGAAGCACTGACCATCGTAAAATGCCAGTTAGAATAAGCAGGCCGAGTGTCACAGAAATTCAGATGCTGTAATGTCATGTTTATGATGTGCATATAGATTTTGTTTTATGTATGATATAATACAGCACAGTTAATGTAAAATATTACTAAATAATGTTCTAAAAGGGTGTGGAAGTTTAACTAATTTTTGGGATCAGCATGAATAAAGATAATGGACATTTTTATTGCATGAGGTAGTTTACTTGTCCTACACAGTGTTTCCCCTATATTCATTTAGCAAATCGTTGACGCCACTCCAAAAGAAAAAAAAAAAAATATGGTAGGTAAAACGTTTTCAGTGTAAACTTAAATGACGAAAACCTAATATAAAATATATGTTCTTAATAAAAATCACCTTTGAGAACTAAGAATCACCTAAATAAAAACTAGACAGTCAGGGAGAATAAAAAAATTAATACAAATGTAATGACATTGATTTTGTTCTAATGTTTGAGTCTCTCAGATAGCATAAGAACACGGTATAAGCCATTGCAAAATGTGTAGAATTGCAGGAAATTAGCTTTAAAACTGTAAAATAAAATATTTGCCCATGGCAAAATATGTACAGTGAGGGAAAAAAGTATTTGATCCCCTGCTGATTTGGTACGTTTGCCCACTGACAAAGACATGATCAGTCTATAATTTTAATGGTAGGTTTATTTGAACAGTGAAAGACAGAATAACAACAAAAAAATCCAGAAAAAAGAATGTAAAAAATGTTATAAAGTGATTTGCATTTTAATGAGGGAAATACGTATTTGACCCCTCTGCAAAACATTACTTGGTACTTGGTGGCAAAACCCTTGTTGGCAATCACAGAGGTCAGACGTTTCTTGTAGTTGGCCACCAGGTTTGCACACATCTCAGGAGGGATTTTGTCCCACTCCTCTTTGCAGATCTTCTCCAAGTCATTAAGGTTTCTAGCCTGACGTTTGGCAACTCGAACCTTCAGCTCCCTCCACAGATTTTCTATGGGATTAAGGTCTGGAGACTGGCTAGGCCACTCCAGGACCTTAATGTGCTTCTTCTTGAGCCACTCCTTTGTTGCCTTGGCCGTGTGTTTTGGGTCATTGTCATGCTGGAATACCCATCCACGACCCATTTTCAATGCCCTGGCTGAGGGAAGGAGTTCTCACCCAAGATTTGACGGTCCATCGTCCCTTTGATGCTGTGAAGTTGTCCTGTCCCCTTAGCAGAAAAACACCCACAAAGCATAATGTTTCCACCTCCATGTTTGATGGTGGGGATGGTGTTCTTGGGGTCATAGGCAGCATTCCTCCTCCTCCAAACACGGCGAGTTGAGTTGATGCCAAAGAGCTCGATTTTGGTCTCATCTGACCACAACACTTTCACCTCTGAATCATTCAGATGTTCATTGGCAAACTTCAGAAAGGCCTGTATATGTGCTTTCTTGAGCAGGGGGACCTTGCGGATTTCAGTCATTCACGGCTTAGTGTGTTACCAATTGTTTTCTTGGTGACTATGGTCCCAACTGCATTGAGATCATTGACAAGATCCTCCCGTGTAGTTCTGGGCTGATTCCTCACCGTTCTCATGATCATTGCAACTCCACGAAGTGAGATCTTGCATGGAGCCCCAGGCCGAGGGAGATTGACAGTTCTTTTGTGTTTCTTCCATTTGCGAATAATCGCACCAACTGTTGTCACCTTTTCACCAAGCTGCTTGGCGATGGTCTTGTAGCCCATTCCAGCCTTGTGTAGGTCTACAATCTTGTCCCTGACATCCTTGGAGAGCTCTTTGGTCTTGGCCATGGTGGAGAGTTTGGAATCTGATTGATTGCTTCTGTGGACAGGTGTCTTTTATACAGGTAACAAGCTAAGATTAGGAGCACTCCCTTTAAGAGTGTGCTCCTAATCTCAGCTCGTTACCTGTATAAAAGACACCTGGGAGCCAGAAATCTTTCTGATTGAGAGGGGGTCAAATACTTATTTCCCTCATTAAAATGCAAATCAATGTATAACATTTTTGACATGCGTTTTTCTGGATTTTTTTGTTGTTATTCTGTCTCTCACTGTTCAAATAAACCTACCATTAAAATTATAGACTGATCATTTCTTTGTCAGTGGGCAAATGTACAAAATCAGCAGGGGATCAAATACTTTTTTCCCCTCACTGTAGAATTGCAGAAATTGTTTTGGGTCGGTTTGCGCCATTGGCCACGCCCACTAACCCCCCCACCCCACCTTTGCCACTGCTGCTGAAAGAAATCCTAGGGGAAACACTGCTACAGTATGTTGGCTAATATCCAACACATACCCTAAACACATTCAATTTTCCTCTATCTCTTTACTCAACATGTTTTGTATGGGAGGTTGTGTGTATTGTTTTGTACATTTCAGCTCCATAGCACCTCGGCCATGCGTTATTCCTGCTCATTCCAGACACCGCGGCATAGCGAGCGCAGCATTGCCTTCCTCTCCTTCGAGCAGGGCACCCTGTAGGCTACTTACAGATACAGATCCCGTGAGAGGCGTCCAGTATGTATCCTTGCCTGCAGACACAACTGTAGCTCCCCCGAGTGTTCACACAGTTCCCGTTCTCACAGAAGCCTGGCTGCAAACACTCATTAACATCTAGGAAGGGAAACACTACGGTCACGTCCCTATTCCCCAACCCCATCCATAGGATCCACAGACAGGAAACAGTCATGAACCCTCTTCCTGAAGGCCGGGGAGATAATAGGGCTTCCCACTGATATACTGTACTTGCAGGGGGAGGCCCTGGTCACATACGACATTCATATTCTGGGGATATTAATAGTGACTAACTTGAAACCCAATGAGGATGGTTAGACATGACAAACATTTGTGCTTAGAGTTCATTCTATGTGAAACAAATACATTTAGTAAACTGAAGTTTTAACTGAGACCTTGGAAGAACTAACCTGAACTCATAATCTTTGAAACACTCACTAAAAAGTCTGGCAACATCCAATGTGAGTGTAAAAGAAAACCATAACATAAACATATCAGTGTTTATCCAACCCCGTCCTCATCAATATCGTAGCAGCTTACAACATGAGATGTACTGTAACTCTCAGGGAATTAGCGAGATTGAGTGAGTGATGCAACAGGGCCTGGTGTAGTCATTACTTCTCATGCTATCTGCCTCTTCCTGGAGAAATGGTTTTCCAGCAGTCAGGTTATACAACCATCTGGCCTAACGTACGCAGCATCTGTTGGGTAATAGGAGTGAACTGAGCTCATCCCCAATTCACTGTAGTAGACCTTCTTGCTACAAATAGACATTTAAAGGCAGCATTGCAAATATGGTTTGTATCATCATATGTCAGCACCTTATCCATTTCAGTTACTATGTTAAATCTTTCTATATAGATGCAGGAGTGAAAAAGTTTATCCTGTCAAATAACAGTAATACTGTATGTACAGTTGAAGTCGGAAGTTTACATACACTTAGGTTGGAGTCATTAAAACTTGTTTTTGAACCACTCCACACATTTCTTGTTAACAAACTATAGTTTTGGCAAGTCGGTTAGGACATCTACTTTCTGCATGACACAAGTAATATTTCCAACAACTGTTTACAGACAGATTATTTCACTTATAATTCACTGTATCACAATTCCAGTGGGTCAGAAGTTTACATACACTAAGTTGACTGTGCCTTTAAACAGCTTGGAAAATTCCAGAAAAGGATGTCATGGCTTTAGAAGCTTCTGATCTACATCATTTGAGTCAATTGGAGGTGTACTTGTGGATGTATTTCAAGGCCTACCTTCAAACTCAGTGGCTCTTTGCTTGCAACTGCACATGGGGACAAAGATCATACTTTTTGGAGAAATGTCCTCTGGTCTGATGAAACAAAAATCGAACTGTTTGGCTATAATGACCATTGTTATGTTTGGAGGAAAATGGGGGCTGCTTGCAAGCCGAAAAACACCATCCCAACCGTGAAGCACGGGGGTGGCAGCGTCATGCTGTGGGGGGTGCTTTGCTGCAGGAGGGACTGGTGCACTTCACAAAATAGATGGCATCATGAGGAAGGAAAATTATGTGGATATATTGAAGCAACATCTCAAGACATCAGTCAGGAAGTTAAAGCTTGGTCGCAAATGAGTCTTCCAAATGGACAATAACCCCAAGCATACTTCCAAAGTTGTGGCAAAATGGCTTAAGGACACCAAATTCAAGGTATTGGAGTGGCCATCACAAAGCCCTGACCTCAATCCTATAGAACATTTGTGGGCAGAACTGAAAAAGCGTGTGCGAGCAAGGAGGCCTACAAACCTGACTCAGTTACACCAGCTCTATCAGGAGGAATGGGCCAAAATTCACCCAACTTATTGTGGGAAGCTTGTGGAAGGCTACCCGAAACGTTTGACCCAAGTTAAACAATTTCAAGGCAATGCTACCAAATACGAATTGAGTGTATGTAAACTTCTGACCCACTGGGAATGTGATGAAAGAAATAAAAGCTTAAATAAATCATTCTCTCTACTATTATTCTGACATTTCACATTCTTAAAATAAAGTGGTGATCCTAACTGACCTAAGACAGGGAATTTTTACTAGGATTAAATGTCAGGAATTGTGATAAACTGAGTTTAAATGTATTTGGCTAAGGTGTATGTAAACTTCCGACTTCAACTGTATATCCATTGAGGCATGTTAGTGAGGTGAATATGATCCTTTATGTTATAGAATTGAACTTACAGATCAATGTTGTTTTTCTCCATTTATATCAGCTGCTAACTAATGTGCATGTACAGTATAATACCAGGAGCCTCAAGCCTATTCTAAAGAATCACAGGTGATGTTTTTGCAATATGTAATTTATGAAGAATTGGGTCAACTAAAACTACATGCATATCATCATATGGATGAGTGGCATGGTGTCAATGTGGTTTGCCTTTGGGTATGGTGCCACTCTCAGATCAATAGCAGATTCACCATGAATGAGCACAACCACATTGGTATGTCCCCATCTGAGTGCTATCCCAAGCGTGATAGCATCTGCATGTTACCATCAGCGGAGATGTGTGCTCTGTTTTCTCCTTTCTCTCTCATATCTTATTAGGCTCTACAGAGACGGATGAAGCGGCCATTCCATAGTGGCAGATAATCAAGGCATGGTTTGTGGTTTCAGAGCTTATCACCTCAGACTCTTCAGCGCTCGGCAGTAGATCTCTGGGTCAAGTGACAAGACTGGGTTGAATAATGAGCTGCTTCAAAGGGCTTTTCTATGTGTGTGTGGGTGAGCTGAGCCTATATGGAATACAGTATGACAAGCTAAGGATACAGCTGCTGACTTGATGAAGTGATATCGTACATTATTCCACTCAAAACATCAAATTAAAATGAGAGAGGTCATATTATGAAGATAGACCATGGCAATGCTTCTCTTTTCCACTCCTATTTGACCTGGTATTTGTTTAACAATAAATACTGTCAAATATAATTTCATAACATTTCAACATACATCTCTTCCAGTCAGTTCTCCTGTTACAGACACAGAGAGATTATATGTGCTCAGATAGGACCTAAAAGGGTTCTTCGGCTGTCCCCATAGGAAAACCACTTGAAGAACCCTTTTTGGTTCAAGGTAGAACCTTTTTGCTTCCAGGTAGAATCCTTTTGAGTTCCATTTAGAACCCATTCCACAGAGGGATCTACATGGAATCCAAAAAAGAGTTCTAACTGGAACCAAAAAGGTATGGGGACAGCCGAAGAACCCATTTGGAACCCTTTTTTTCTAAGATTATAGAAGACCACCATCATTCTACAGTAAGTGGTATAGTCAGGTGTACTCAGAGGGACAGATGGAACTCACCAACACACTGGGTGCCGTTGATCCTCTCAAATCCAGCCGGACAGCTCCCATCGACTCCATTTCCTGAAAAGGCAATTCACATAATGATGTTTAAATAGCAATACTCGAGAGACACTGTGTGAGCCCTACTGATGTAAAGGGAAAGGGGATACCTAGTCATGTAGTGCCAACAGCTGTGTATACAACCAGAGTGATGGCTAAAAATTCACTGGGTCACTCGTTTCTTGCCTATCTTTCTCCTGCAGAGCCTGGATGAGATTTCAGATACTTTTAGTACTCAATCTGTGTGTACTGTATATACAGTCCCTGATCCCACCATGGAAGACTAGCAGCATGTAGCACCACAGAGAGAGAGCCAAGCGTACAGGAGCCATGGGATATACCGGAGCGCTCTGGGTCAACTAAACCAAGCGAAGCAAATCTTTTTTTTTTTACCATACGAGCATGACGTACCGTCAGTCTAGAGTGGAAAACACACTCTCATCTAACATTGGCTAACAATCACATCTCCAGTGAGCTAGCTAGCTTTGTGACTCCCAATTGTTTGCTGGACTGTTGGCAGCCTAAATCACACAATCTTAGTTATCTGTCTGCTAACAATCTCCCTCCCAGCTGTCTCTCCTCTCACATCAAACAACGCTCTATTTGGAGGACCTTTACTGGCTTGGGAGACAAGTGGGAAGTTGTGAAGTGACTTGAGGTTGCCGAGTAAAGATTCAAAGGACATTCCTCAAAGGAAATGGAAAGGATAAAGTACTTAGTGTTTCAAACGACTGTGATCCCAGGCCAGAGTTTTGGACAAGGCCTCTATTGTGTGGTATCAACCACATATTTATGGGAATGTTTGGGGAAGTTGTTTGCAAGGAGGGAGTAATTGCAATTGAGGAGGTTTTCATCGTAGTCTAAATCAAAATGAGGAAAACCATGCATTTCTTCCAGGCTGTTGAACAGAGAGGAAAAACAGCCTTGTTTGGTGATTTATTTCCATGTGTCTGTATTAATCAATGACCCCACAGGGCAGGCGACATAATGTTCTGTATTTCTTACTGGCTCCGGCTAAGCGTGGAGTTAGTCTATTACATAATAATATGTCCATTATCGATAACAAGTCATTTTCCTTATGTACATTATTTCACTGGGATGGCTGAGGAGAGTTACCTAAAACATTTTCAGGACTGTCTGGATTCCTGTTAAAATGAATAGTGGTGATGAAAGAAGTTGAAAACAGAACATTAGCTCACTACTTTTTTGACATGATGTTGATATGGTCTAGGAGGCGAGAGGGCAAAGCCAACTTACGGACAAATATGGCCAAGAGAAAAGTACATTCCAGTCAGGTTAGTCAGGTCTGGAGTAAAACATGTCAACAACTTCATGTACTGTATATAACTAGTTAATAATCGGATATTACGTAAATTCTTATTTAATTTCAGACAACAGAGCAAGGCCATCTGGTTTAAGGTTTCTAAAAGGAATTCCACTCCAATCTAAAGCACTCCTGTCTTTTGAAAAACCAGAGTCAATGTCAATAATGTAGTGAAGGTGAGATTAACAAGAACACGCTGGTAGGCTAGCCACTATAATGTAGCATGGGACATAAAGTTTCGGAAAATGTAGTAAAGTGTCCACAATAATACAACAAATTGATTTTTTAAAAACACATTGTGGACCACTCAAATGGAGTTTTCAGACACTAAAAACAATCAGTCAAACATGGTACAGGCGTCATATACAATACATGACATCATCTAAACAAAAAACAGAGTACATATGATCATACTGTACAACAGGTGTTACTCATTTTTTATTGTTGCACCTGGGATTACTAATCAGCAGTGACCTCCCCATTTGTTTCTGGTATTTAATTATTAGCTTTGAGATGAGAGGAGGGGTAGGTACACAAAGGCGACAGAAGATGGGGGGCCCGTCTATGCAAGAAATGGGAGAAAAAGGATTAACCCATTTTGTGATAGAAAGACTGAAAGGAGAGAACAAGTGTAATGGAAGAGAAGAGGGATATTGACGAAAGGCCAAGCTTCACTTTAAAGGAGAACTGGGAAAGGGACACTATAGAAGTCAGGCAGGTGACTACTAGACGGGGGTCTTTTACCTGTGTTAGGGGGACATAGGACACACTCGTTGATGCCCCAGGCCAGTCCAATCCCTCGGCAGCAGGTGTCCTGACTCCTGAGTCCTGGGAGAGGTGAGCTGCACTGAGGGGTAGAGGAGAAGAGAAGAGCATTGGATTTAAACTGGCACAACCACAATGAGACATGCCACCCATTTATATTGGATTGCTTAAGACTTAGCGACATAATTTGATGCATATTATGTACATACAGGTAACTGCCAAAATAAAGGAAACACAAACATGAAGTGTCTTAATAGCGTATTGGGTCACCACGAGGCACCAAAACAGCTTTAATGCACCTTCTAGCCATGGTAGCCAAAATAATGGGCAACTGGGCCTGCTCTGCATTTTTATACATGACCCTAAGCATGATGGGATGTTAATTCCACACCTGTGTGGAAGCACCTGCTTCCAATATATATTTGTATCCCTCATTTACTCAAGTGTTTCTTTTATTTTGGCAGTTATCTGTAGGTATCAATAGTAGAAGTAATTCCTCTGCGAAGTCTCACCTGGCCGTTGCGTACCTCCCTGAAGCAGTACTTGAACCCGGAATATTCTGTGTAGGTGGAGTCACCATGGAGGGTCTGGGCCTGGACTCTGGTTTTGGGTGGTGGGGCTTCGGCCCTCTCCCCTGGCAGAACACTGGTCCTGGCCCCCGAGAGGCCTGCTGACCAGGTGACCGTCTCCGACTGCTCCCTAACTGTGCCTGGCCCGTAGCCTACCTTCAGCACCTGGTGGATCTTCACGCTGGCCTCTGGGGGGTGCTGCACCCGCACCTTGACCATGGATGAGCCAGATCCTGGGGGGAGGGAGAGAGGGGAGTGGGGGTTAGGGGTTAGCGGGGGTTAGCAGTAGCAAACACGGCTGACTCCATACAGTCTCTGCACAGAGCCTGACCTGACCCGCTGTGCCTCCAGGGGTCAGAGGTCATTCTATGACGGACCTCTCACTTGAACTCTGTCCCGGTGGCTCACATTTACCACTGGCTGAATGGTTGACGTTGCATTTTTGTGCTGACAGGTAACTAAGGAAGTGGATATGAATGGGAGCTCCCATGTATGAGAGGTGCCTTTGGTGCGTGACACAAAGTCTTTGATGTGGTTTCAATTCAAAAGGTAAATATTGAATGGCGGTCTTTAGTCATTCCATTTGTTAGGAAGCTAGTGTGAAGCCCTGTTACTATAGCAGATCTTAAGAATCAAAGGAGGGTGTGTGTGGGGTGTCTGAAAATGAAGTGGCTGTTCTCCTAAAACATGCTATTACTGTGAGTCATGATGGCAGCCTCTTATCGTTTAGAGACTGGAGTGAAATGTTGGCACATCGTTTCCCCCACGGTGACGCCACTACACTGCCAAGAGACCCAGACTGAGCGGAAGGCCAGACCCAGACTCATTTCTCAACCTTTTCTTGGGCTTTATTAAAAAGGCAATGAGTTAATCAGTTAACTCTGGGTGACTGAATGTCCCAGATCTGTTTGTGCTAAAGGAACTGTTGTGCACGGTTTGTTCTAGGTTGAAAAAACGAGAACGCAAAGAACAAGGCTCATTAAAATCAAGACCCAGGACATTGGACTCTTCACCTCCTAGCCATCCGTCCGTAATATCAGACCTATAGGACCTGGTTTACTATTCAGGGTTTTACGGAATCGTTTACAGGGCCCTGGAGATACGCAGCCAACACAATGTTTCATTTACAGATGCAGTTTGGACTGTGTTTTTCATTTGCCCCAAAACAATGAGAGTGCAGATGGGTTGTTTGTTCCATTATCGTGCTGTGGATTTTACAACATGCTGAACTCTACAACACGGCTGCATCAATTATAAAAGGCGGAGACAATGGAACCACATCAGAGACAGTGTTTTGGACCCAAACATGTCTCAGGCGTCCGCTCTCTGTGGTTAACAAGCAATCCCATTGTCTGACCCCTGTAGGATTTCCCATAACTGTTCATAGACTAACTCTGAGATAATTTGGAATTTACTCGCTGCTTGTCTACACCCCACTCGAGTTGTGACAAAATGTACACGGTTTTAATTGCCTGTTCACTATTTCACACTGTCTGGCCTATTGGCCGACCTCGTCCTCACAGCTGGTCCTGACAGCACAACAGAGGTGTCCTTTGTCCGCCTGTGTTTTTCACGCTAAAAAAAGTTTGCCATTTAGCCACAAGGAGATGAAAACAGAGCATTCATCATCCCTCCTAAATACACTCCTCCTCAAGAGAAGAGAGGAAACGTTCACCACAGGCTGCATAGCCCTTAGTGGTGGTACAATTGATGGTTGTCAAAATGCGGTTGTGATGCTAAATTGCATCACAAGTTGCCAAGGAACTAGAGTGTAAGAGTCCTGGCTGCGCTAGAAAAAATATCAGGGTAGCAAAATTGCCATTAGAAAGAGGTACAGTATATTGCTGATATAAGTGGATTTGTGACAAAGATGTTTTATGATAAACACTACAGAATAGAGCCCCACAGTGGAGATGTCATAATACCCATAAAACCTAGCGGTCAAACACCATTCATTTTTCCTATAGGGAATGTTAGAAACATAAGGGCTGTGTTTTGTGTAGGCTTACCCTGGCGTGACGTTTTGATAACCATGTAAATCTCTCTCAGACAAGGTGACTTTTATCAGTATATTCGGCTCTATTTACTCTCAGATTCGAAAATGCTAATTAGCATCAAAGTAGACATCATGCAAGACTACATATCCCTGCAAGCTCCTGCACATCATCTCTAGCTGACAGGTATTGTGTCAATTAAAAATGTGCACCAGACAGTTCACAGAATTGTCAATTTAAAGAAATGTTGCCAATTTATTCATTACTAAATTTAGCTAATAGATTGTTAATCCAGAGATTCTTACCTTTGCCTCGGCGGTCTCATCCAGTCTCATCTGTAGCTCAATTGGTAGAGCATGGCGCGTGTAACGCCAGGGTAGTGGGTTCGATCCCCGGGACCACCCATACGTAAAAATGTATGCACGCATGACTGTAAGTCGCTTTGGATAAAAGCATCTGCCAAATGGCTTATTATATTATATTATTATCATGGCATTTGTAGTTCTTTATTATAGCCACATTAACAGCTAATTAGCATTTCATTTTTGGGGAGTAAATACAGGGGAATATATTGATAGAAGTCACCTTGTCCTAGAGAGATTTACACGGTTATCAAAACGTCACGCCATGGTAAGCATACACGAAATACAGCCCTTATTTTAAGTGTTTCTAAAATCCCCTATGGAAAGAATGAATGGTGGAAAAAAGATTGGAACTATTTCCTTGTTTGACCGCTAGGTTTGATGGGTATTATGACTCATACTGTGGTACTCTATTGGCAGGTCAGCTAAGTCTAAGACCCCACTATCAACGTAGGCCTCCTCAGTGATATTGCGTAAGCCCTCAGATCTCCACTCCGAAACACTCTCCCAGACCTGGAATAGAGCGTGGACTTTTGGAAGCAGCTCGTCAACATAATTGACCCCGACATTTAATTTGTTAGTATGAGCTCAGCGTACTGTTTAGATTTCAGTCATTAACTTTTGGTTGTGTTTCACCAGCCCCCCCCCCCCAACCCCCATCCCCCTGGAGCGAACACAAGCCACACTGATGTCATTAGGCTTTATAGAGCATGGACAAAATACACATGCGCTCAGGGTCGCATTCTTATGATAACATCTTCAAAGGCAGCAGAAGATGACCAACCATACTGTATCCTAAAACAAGTCCCATCTGTAACTGCAGTGTTAAAGCTTCAGATTTCACTGACTGCGTAGTTAGTTGTGATTGGCAAATATGATGACGTGCATTTTCCAGGGTCTCAATACCGCCATGCAGGGCAATGTCAGTGTTTGTCTTTTCTTCATGTTGTACAAATATACTTCACCATCTGAGAGCGTACGTCAACTGATAGAATTTGGTCAGAAACATCTGGCTGTCATAACATCCAAAATGCACATTTGGCAAGTCAGTGAGAGTATTCGTAAGTAGCCGAATCAGAGTGTTCTCATATGCATTGTAATGATGTTAAAATAATGGGAAATTAGTGATTGTCTAAGAGACCTAGAGGAATTGCTGTCCGTGTTTCAAGGCTTATTACCCATTGGCACTGAGAGGTACAATTTACGTGTTGAGTACTGGCCAAGGGAAAACAGTCATGTATAACTGTCATAATATTCCATCTTTAGCTCAGCACACACGGTGCAGTTTGAATGTAATGAATCTACAGGAAATACCCACTTTATGTAACTATGTGACGTGTGAACCTTAGTTGACAATTTTTGCACATTCAAAGCCAAACCACAGATGACTAAATGTCAGACGTAAGCATAATTTGTTATGCATTATTAGGCAATTAATGATGGTTAATTTGATAATTTCAAAAAAGGCTGTTTGCTATAATTGTCATAAATGTATTTCATCGACATGTCAGTATCACACCTCTATATGCAGAGAATTAGCCGTCTTTGTGCTCATTCTAGAGCTCTTCCTTCTTCTATTTGATATTTATCCCAGTCTTACTGTCAAGGAGAGACTCCTTCACTAGAGACATTGGACTCTGCTTTATAGATTTGTGTGTAACGTATTAACTTAAGAGCAAGTTGTGTTTCAATCATCACCATTCAGATCCCACCGCTGCCACCAATGAGGCCGGCCTTGTCACACTTACCACCGCTGGGCTGACTGTGGCTCTGCTGCTGGCTCTGGAGGGGGAGAATGTACTCTGACTGGGTCAGCAGCTGCTGACTGGCCAGCACCGAGGGGATGCGCAGAGGCTTCTCAATGTCATTGGTGGAGGGCGTGGCCACGGGGATGTGGCAAAACTTGCCGGTGAAGGTTGGCGGGCAGAGGCAGCGGTCCTTCTGGATGCAGACCCCTCCGTTTTGACACAACATGGGGCACAGGACTGGAGGAGAAACAGAGGAGGGAGGGAGACAAACAGAATGGCTCTGTTAACTGTGACCAGATTGAGGGAGAAACATGGAGTCCAAGACATCAACAACTGAAATAGAACTCTGGAGCTGAGAGAAACAATAACCATATTGTTTTATGTCCTGTAGTGATTACCATGGTTCAGTTACCATTAGGGCCAAGAGTTCCTCCCTGTTGCGGTTCAAATGTAACAACACAAACTCACGATTCAGATACGATCCGATTACAAAACCAAGGGCAGAGTCTAATAAGTTCACGCCTACCTGGCCAACCAAGGCAACAAGGGAAAACCTCCAACACATGTCCTTGTGACAGAGACAATTGATAGACAGTTTGGAAACACTGTAAACAATGCCATTCAAAACAACACTGATTGGTTACAGAGCACACAAATACCATCTTTACTTCATTTCCCCCCTTTTTACCACAATGAATGGAAAACAAGCTAAAACAAGCAGTACTCTGATGAAAACCATACCTCTGCTTATTCTGTCCACCAGCACATGCTTTCCATATCACATGGCTGCGCTGTATTAATGCTCATAATAATAATAATAACGTTGGAAAGCTTGGCCCTGGCCAATGCCCAAGTCCATGGAAATTAATTTACAATGGCAATGCAGCTAGGCAGAGAGAGAGATATGCCTGGCAGTCAGCTGAATAGAATGATCTTTTCAGCATCTATAATCAGTCCATTATGCATCTCCCTGGCCAACTGTCTGTCCATCAAACACTGGGCCAGAAGGATAAACTCAGCACAGTTAGTAAACAATATCTGACGCAATATGGGGGGGGGGGGGTGAGAGAGCGAGAGAGAGAGAGATAAAGAGAAAGAAAGAAAGAAAGACAAAAAGATGGATGTACTGATAGACCTTGTTGTGTTACTTTCTATCCATATTTTAATTAGGTAGAATATAAACCTGCTCTCTCTTAAACACTCAAATGTGTTTGTGTTCTGTGGTAATTTACCACTCAAGACGGGGGGTTCAGCTAAAGCTGTTTTCTCTGAGGTGAACATCTCAGAGTGGTTTGGAGAGGATACTGTAAAACACAAATATTGGACTGTACGAGGTCCCGACAGTCACACTGATTATAGGCCTTCACCTTTCCCGAGCCTTCCGGAACTTGGAAAGACGACGGCAGCTGAAGGCTGTCCAAAGTACACACTGATCCATCATTTTTAGTGTTCTTCCTTTCCCTAGGGGGGGCACATAATTGATTTTCCATCTGAATTCGAAGTCCTCTGGGCTCCAGTGAGCGTGTCAGCATCGGGGTAACTACCGTAACTAACTATCTATTTTCTCAGTTTCTGGCACGCTCTTGCCCATTGTTCCAGAGGCCATGGCGAGGAACAGGAAAAAGGTTGGTGTTTTTGTCAGGAAAAGGCCTTTTACAAGAGGAATTTACAGTACAGTGGCTTAGGAGTTCTCTAGGTTCCTATCGCAGAGAGCCTGTGTCCGGCCCCCGGGGTTAGAGCAGCAGCGTTCTGCTGTGTGGAGTAGATTTCCGGTAGAGAAATCATGTGTGGAGCATATGCAGTGTATCAGTGTGTATTCCCCGCTGTGGCGTAGCCGTGGTGATGAGGTCATGTGCAGTATGCAAACTGAGAAGGTGACCTAATTGTTTGCTCCGAGTCGGACGTGTGTGTCCCTCCAGATGCAATGGATCCATCCACCAGAGACTACACAGGGAGAGGGGAAATTAGGGAGCGAGAGAGAGAGAGAGAGATGGAACAGACAAAAAAAAAGACAGACAGAGAGAGGGACAGAATGGGAAAAAAGAGGCAGAAAGAGAGAGGGGGGGGGGGGGGGTGTCAAGGTTGTATGATGACTCATCCTGAATTTAATTCCGTTGCTCTATCAATCGCTCCATACATGAGTCTGAACCTACCATCCTAGAAGTTGTTTGTGCTGATTCATGTAGACCAGTGTCAGGATCGTGTGAAGGAGGAGACCAAAGCGCAGCGTGTTGAGTGAACATAGTATATTTATTAAATGCTCACACGAGCAAAACAAACAAACAACGAATCCGTGACGTCTGTGGTACAACACGCACACACACGAACAAAATCCCACAACCCGAAAAGAAAACAGATAGATTAAATATGGCTCCCAATCAGAGACAAACAGCCGACAGCTGACACTCGTTTGCCTCTGATTGGGAGTCACACCGGCAAACATAGAAAATAAACCACCTAGAACACCCACCAGAGAAACCGAAAACATAGAATGAACACACCCTGGTTCAACATAATGAGTCCCCGAACCAGGGTGTGACAGTACCCCCCCCTAAAGGCGCGGACTGTGACCGCGCCTAAATATGAGCAAAACAGGGGAGGGCTGGGTGGGCATTCTTCCTCGGCGGCGGCTCCGGCTCCGGGCTTGATCCCCACTTCCTCTCCAACCCCCCAAAGTACTCCTGGTCCTGTCTAGCCCCGCTGGCCGGAGCCGGACTGACGACACGCGCCCCTGGCTTGGTGCGTGGAGCAGGAATGGACCGGAATGGGCTGGCGACGCACACCACTGACTTGGTGCGGAGAGCAGGGACGAGCCGGACAGGGCTGACGAGACGCACCACAGACTTGGTGCGGGAAGCTTGGATGGGCCGGACTGGGCTGGCGACGCGCACCGTATCCCTGGTGCGAGTGGCCGGAACAGGCCGGGTCGGGCTGGCGACGCGCACCGTATCCCTGGTGCGAGTGGCCGGAACAGGCCGGGTCGGGCTGGCGACGCGCACCGTATCCCTGGTGCGAGTGGCCGGAACAGGCCGGGTCGGGCTGGCGACGCGCACCGTATCCCTGGTGCGAGTGGCCGGAACAGGCCGGGTCGGGCTGGCGACGCGCACCGTATCCCTGGTGCGAGTGGCCGGAACAGGCCGGGTCGGGCTGGCGACGCGCACCGTATCCCTGGTGCGAGTGACCGGAACAGGCCGGGTCGGGCTGGCGACGCGCACCTTATCCTTGGTGCGAGTGGCCGGAACAGGCCGGGCTGGGCTGGGGACGCGCACCACAGGCTCCATGCGAGGAACAGGAACAGACCGGACCGCACTGAGGACACACACCCCTGGCCCTACACGGGGATCAGGAACGGGCCGGACCGGACTGGTAACACACCCCAGTACCCTTGGCCGTGCCTCTACACCTTCCTTCCCCTTCGTGACCAGTGGCCCCCTTAACCTGGCGGCCCTATCTGCCAACCTCCTGCACTCCTCCAACCCGTACACCTGCTGCCCCGACGTCGTGAGCCCCCCCCTAAAAATTTCCTGGGGGTCTCTCCTCCCCGTGGACCAGGCCTCCATCATTCTCGCCCACTTCTCGCTCCTCTGTTTCCAATTATCGCCCTTCAGCTCCTGTACACGCTGCTTGGTCTGGTCTTGGTCTTGGTGGGATTTTCTGTCAGGATCGTGTGAAGGAGGAGACCAAAGCGCAGCGTGTTGAGTGAACATAGTATATTTATTAAATGCTCACACGAGCAAAACAAACAAACAACGAATCCGTGACGTCTGTGGTACAACACGCACACACACGAACAAAATCCCACAACCCGAAAAGAAAACAGATAGATTAAATATGGCTCCCAATCAGAGACAAACAGCCGACAGCTGACACTCGTTTGCCTCTGATTGGGAGTCACACCGGCAAACATAGAAAATAAACCACCTAGAACACCCACCAGAGAAACCGAAAACATAGAATGAACACACCCTGGTTCAACATAATGAGTCCCCGAACCAGGGTGTGACAACCAGCTCTGGTCCAACCCATCGGTTGGGACCAATCAGAACGGTTTGAATGTGTTCACATTCGAGAAGTCGTCGGGGAGGAAGCAAACCAGATTCATCGTGGAGAAGAAACGTTAGTGGCCGTGGCATTTGAACCGAGCGATGTGGATGGGTAGCCATGCAAGGGTGCAGGTGCCTCCGAGGAAAAACAGTGACGTCAGCTGAGCTGTTGAGAGGCAGTGAGCAGCTGCCCAGTTCTTCTCAGACCCTCCATGAGACACAGAACGTCAGCCCTGTCTTTCACTGCACTCATATCCATGTAATGCAGTACATCTCTCAGGCCAGTGTGGAACAACAGGTCATCACACCATGTAGAGTTTTAGTTTTCATGACCCCATGACATCATTTCCTGTGTCCCCAGGCTTTACAGCTAGGCCTTGGAGGATTTCACTCCAAAGGGTGGTTTGAAAATGAGAGCGTCATCATTCAAACATTCTGGGCATGTGAGTGTGTACTGTATGTACTTCAAGGCTGACAGCATTAGCCCTCCCTGGAAAGAATCAAAAAGTGTGTGTGTGTGTGTGTGTGTGTGTACAGGGAGATGTTTTGAGGCAAATCAAAGACACATGCCATTTGGGCTCCCTCTTTGCATGCAGGAGAAGGAAGGTTCAGCTGGCCATAGTTTCTACAGCTTGCACAGAGATGCTTAACCCATGATGTCCTCATGCACACCCAGCCTGTACCTTTATCAAGACAACCCTGAATAGACCTCAATATGGGTGAGGAGGATATTAATACAGCAGAAAGCTGAAGAGTAATTATCAGGTGAATGCAGAATTAATACCAGCAATGCAACTTGATTCAAACATGGCAGCTGGCATTTGGGATCAAATCACAGCTTATTTATCATATGCACAGGATAAAGCGTAGTGTACACGGTATAATGAAATGCTTTCTTGCAAATAGACTCACTTGTAGCTAGCAATCAGCATGAGATCATGAGTTCCAACTGCAACAATAAAGCTAATCATAATGGCAGTTATCCAAACTATCCCAGATCAACTTTGCCATAGCACCTCGCTTTGAATAGCTGAAAAGTTAGGTCCCTCTTTGAACAGTCAAATATGCACTGAGATATTCACAGAGATATTTTGGGCTCTGCTGGCCACATCTGCCTGACAGACATTTTTCACAAGTCCGTGATAGAGGGCATCGATTGGGTCGTAGCCAATAGGACCAGAGAGAGGGACTAAACCGTAAGTATGGCAAGACAAAACAAGTATATTTTACACTAGTACACAGTCGAGCACTGTCTAGTGTCTAATGTAACATGCATGGTGCTAGGGGATAATGAGACATTGTTCCTGGTCTGTCTGCTTCATGCTACCCCACCTGACATGTGACCGGCCAGTAACATGGTCTGTGTGCATTTTTTTTTGGGGGGGGGGGGGGGGGGGGGGGCTTGTTTGTACATGAGTCTGACTTTGAGCTGACATCATCTGAATGACTGAGTCCAGGAACAAGCCTATAAACCAGACGTGTGCTAAGCGGATGAAAGGGGAGGGTACTTTCCCTGAGCCCGTTTATACAAGGTATGGGGCATTACTCAGGTCATAGAAAAACAAACAACTGACTTGGCAGCTCTTTAAAGCTTACCAAGTCTGGGTTATTATTAATTAATGAAATGTTCATAGTTGACTGTAGACATAGGCCTACATTGAGAAACATGACTACAGTGCGCACGACGCCAACACCATCATTAAGTTTGCAACGACACAACGGTGGTAGGCCTGATTGATCACCAACGACGATGAGACAGCCTATAGGGAGGAGATCAGAGGCCTGGCAGTGTGGTGCTAGGACAACAACCTCGCCCTCAACATCAGCAAGACAAAGGATCTTATCGTGGACTACAGGAAATGGGGGGGCTGAACACACCCCAATTCCCATCAATGCGGCTGTAGTAGAGCGGGTCCACATCACAAAGGACCTATCATGGTCCAAACACACCAACACAGTCGTGAAGAGGGCACAACAACGCCTCTTCCCCCTCAGGAGGATGAAAAGGTTTGGCATCGGCCCACAGATCCTCAAAAAGTTATACAGCGGCACCATTGAGAGCATCTTGACTGGTTGCATCACTGCCTGGTATGGCAACTGCTCGACATCTGACCGCAAGGCGCTACAGAGGGTAGTGCGTATGGCCCAGTACATCACTAGGGCCGAACTTCCTGCCATCCAGGACCTAAATACCAGGTGGTGTCAGAGGAAGGCCCTAAAGATTGTCAAAGACTCCAGCCAAACAAGTCATAGACTGTTCTCTCTGCTACCGCACGGCAAGCGGTACTGGCGCGCCAAGTCTGGGACCAAAACGCTCCTGAACAGTTTCTACCCCCAAGCCATAAGACTGCTGAACAGTTAATCAAATACTAATTTACATTAGCTAGGTTTCCATCCAATTGGCGACAGATTTGAATGCTAATATTCTAAAATCCGCATAAAAACAACATGCACATTTTCCCACCAGAGATGTGTTTCCATCAAATGTACTTTTTGCAGATAAAAGGCTGTACGTGATGACGTAGTGCACATAAACATTCATTGTGGTTAAATTCCCAAGTACCGAATAAAAATACAAGTTAAATGGGTTTCCATCGCATTTTCAACTCTACTGATGGTTCTCACAAAGAATGCTGCATTATATAGCGAGTGTGCCCACTCTGGTATTGGCACGTGTGCTCTAACCAACAGCGCGCAAACAGCTATCTGCACGCTGTTGGCTAGAGTGCACGTATAGCCTACATGGTAAGACTACAGTGCCTTGCAAAAGTATTTATCCCCCTTGGCGTTTTTCCTATTTTGTTGCATTACAACCTGTAATTTAAATGGATTTTTATTTGGATTTCATGTAATGGACATACACAAAATAGTCCAAATTGGTGAAGTGAAATGTAAAAAAATAACTTGTTTCTAAAAATTCGGGAAAAAAAATAACGGAAAAATGGTGCGTGCATATGTATTCACCCCCTTTGCTATGAAACCCCTAAATAAGATCTGGTGCAACCAATTACCTTCAGAAGTCACATAAATAGTTAAATAAAGTCCACCTGTGTGCAATTTAAGTGTCACATGATCTGTCACATGATCTCAGTATATACAGCTCTGGAAAAAATGAAGAGACCACTGCAAATTTTTCTTAAATCAGCATCTCTACATGTATGACAGCCATTCCATTCCAGTGTCTGTTGAATTCCAACACAGGCACACCTCATTCTAATGAATTAGGTACTGATTAGGTGATCACATGAACCAAATCTTATTTAACGAGGAAAAGTATAAAATCCACTGCTGTGGTCATCACTATCCTCTTGCAATAGGACCAGCTGGATGGCAAAAACAGTGCTAATAATACCTCAAAAGTAATATTAATAAAAATATTACAATTGACCATGCCAAAAGAGTTTAAAAGGAATGTTTTGAGTAAGGAAAGGGTTCAATTCTGGCTTTACTGGCAGAGGGATACAGTGAGCGTCAGATTGCTTCCATCCTTAAAATTTCAAAGACGGCGGTTCATAAGAACAAGGTCAAGCAGCAGACATTGGGGACAACAAATCTACAGACCGGCAGAGGACGAAAACTACTCTCTACTGACCGGGATGCCAGCCAACTCATTCGAATGTCACTCAACAACCGTAGGATGACATCAAGTGACCTACAAAAAGAATGGCAAACGGCAGCTGGGGTGAAGTGCATAGCAAGGACGGTTCGAAACAGGCTCCTAGGGGCAGGGCTGAAGTCGTGCAAAGCTAGAAAAAAGCCCTTCATCAATGAGAAGCAAAGAAGAGCCAGGCTGAAGTTTGCAAAAGACCATTAGGATTGGGCCGTAGAGTCCAATTTTCAGCTTTGCCCAACACCTGGTCGTCTAATGGTTAGACGGAGACCTGCAGAGGCCTACAAGCCACAGTGTCTCGCACCCACTGTGAAATTTGGTGGAGGATCGGTGATGACCTGCTTCAGCAAGGCTGGAATCGAGCAGATTTGTCTTTGTGAAGGACGCATGAATCAAGCCACGTACAAGGTTGTCCGGAAAGAAAACTTGCTTCCTTTTGCTCTGACATTGTTCCCCAACTCTGAGGATTGGTTTTTCCAGCAGGACAATGCGCCATGCCACACAGCCAGGTCAATCAAGGTGTGGATGGAGGACCACCAGATCAAGACCCTGTCATGGTCAGCCCAATCTCCAGACCTGAACCCCATTGAAAACTTCTGGAATGTGATCAAGAGAAAGATGGATGGTCACAAGCCATCAAACAAAGCCGAGCTGCTTGAAATTTTGCGCCAGGAGTGGCATAAAGTCACCCAACATCAATGTGAAATACTGGTGGAGAGCATGCCAAGACGCATGAAAGCTGTGATTGAAAATCAGGGTTATTCCACCAAATATTGATTTCTGAACTCTTCCTTAGTTAAAACATTAGTATTGTGTTGTTTAAAAATGAACATGAACTTATTTTCTTTGCATTATTCTCGATCTGACAACACTGTATCTTTTTGGTTATTTTGACCAGTTGTCATTTTCTGCAAATAAATGTTGTCAGTAGTTTAAAGAATAAAACAAAAATGTTAATTTCACCCAAACACATACTTATAGATAGTAAAACCAGAGAAACTTATATTTTTGCAGTGGTCTCTTAATTTTTTTCAGAGCTGTATACACCTGTTCTGAAAGGCCCCAGAGTCTGCAACACCACTAAGCAAGGGGCACCACCAAGCAAGCAGCACCATGAAGACCAAGGAGCTCTCCAAACAGGTCAGGGACAAAGTTGTGGAGAAGTACAGATCAGGGTTGGGTTATAAAAATATATCAGAAACTTTGAAAATCCCACGGAGCACCATTAAATCCATTATTAAAAAATGGATAGAATATGGCACCACAACAAACCTGCCAAGAGAGGGCCACCCACCAAAACTCACGGACCAGGCAAGGAGGGCATTAATCAGAGAGGCAACAAAGAGACCAAAGAAACCCTGAAGGAGCTGCAAAGCGCCACAGCGGAGGTTGGAGTGTCTGTCCATAGGACCACTTTAAGCCGTATACTCCACAGAGCTGGCTTTACAGAAGAGTGGCCAGAAAAAAGCCATTGCTTAAAGAAAAAAATAAGCAAACACGTTTGGTGTTCGCCAGAAGGCATGTGGGAGACTCCCCAAACATATAGAAGAAGGTACTCTGGTCAGATGAGACTAAAATTGAGCTGTTTGGCCATCAAGGAAAATGTCTGGCGCAAACCCAACACCTCATCACCCCGAGAACACCATCCCCACAGTGAAGCATGGTGGTGGCAGCATCATGCTGTGGGGATGTTTTTCATCAGCAGGGACTGGGAAACTGGTCAGAATTTAATGAATGATGGATGGCGCTAAATACAGGGAAATTCTTGAGGGAAACCTGTTTCAGTCTTCCAGAGATTTGAGACTGGGACGGAGGTTCACCTTCCAGCAGGACAATGACCCAAAGCATACTGCTAAAGCAACACTTGAGTGGTTTAAAATCCCAGTGGCTAGATGTGCCAAGCTTATAGAGACATACCCCAAGAGACTTGCATCTGTAATTGTTGCAAAAGTTGGCTCTACAAAGTATTGACTTTGGGGTGGTGAATAGTTATGCACGCCCAAGTTTTCTGTTCTTTTGTCTTATTTCTTGTTTGTTTCACAATACAATATATTTTGCATCATTTTGCATTTCCACCAACATTTCTCGCATAATACATTTACCTACACAAAAAGATCCCACCTTGTCTAGCGTATTTTGTTTTATCGACATTTGGAAAGTTTACCATCAGGCCCGTCATGACATTTGTTATCCGACATGTACTTTACTCACATAATAATATAATAATAATAATATTAAAAGGTTGGATGGAAACCTGGTTACTGACCCCCTTTTATTATCTATTTTTGAATATTTATTTTTTGCACAGACTCTCTTGCATTGGCTCTATGCACACTCACTAGATTCTACCCATACACACACACACTACATATGCTCACACACACACGCTGCTGCTACTGTATTTATTATACAGTATATCCTGATTGACTAGTCACTTTTACCCCTACCTACATGTACTGTACATACTGTATTACCTCAATTACCTCCACTACCTCATACCCCTGCACATTGACTCAGTACTGGTACTCATTGTATATAGCCTCTTTATTGTTATTTTATGGTGTTACTATTTCCTTTTTTTATTTAGCAAAACATTTTCATACTTTTTAATTGTTGGGAATGGGCTCGTAAGTAAGCATTTCACAGTAAAGTCTACACCTGCTGTATTCGGCGCATGTGACCAATACAATTTCATTTGTTACACTTTTAAACAGATGGTTCTTAGTGGCAATAATTTGGGTGTAGCGTTTTATTGCATTATGTAATCTAGGTAATTCAAGAGCCATCTTCAAGGCAGTCCTCTTAAACATTGCAACACATGGTCATCTTGTGCATTCATTCCCACCTCCTCTAAACCAGAGAGGTTGTTATGGAGCCTGGATATAAATGATGTGATGATGGTAACAAGCCAGCGCTGATGGACATGATGGTAGTACAGGAAACACGTGGCTGTGATTAGCTTCATACGCACCGGCCCTAGTCGTGTCCGTCCATAATTTCCAAACATTATGCAACTAACTCCTCTCATCTCAACTCTCAAACATCTAAAAGGCCCCCATGTAGGGTCAAGGCACTCTGGCTCAGAACATAAAACTAAGGCTTGTTCAGAAACTATGAGGAAGTACAATCATTCTGGCCTGGTGTATCAAAACACAGACAGAAATACACAATCTCTCTGATTAGCCAGACACGAGGCAGCCGTGTCACTGAAGTTGAGTTTTATTACTGAACAAATGCAGCTAATCTCCACTTAATCCCAGGACGGATTTGGAGTCTTGTGTCGGTCTGTCTTAACGTCTCAGTCTAGGAGGCAGTGAGTGTGTAAAGAAATCGCATTATGAATTACTGCATTACAGAAACGAGTACCGCAAGATTACAACAAGCTGGGCAACAAGATCAAGAGGAAGGGTGAAGAAATAAAGAGGGTAAAGGAGAGAGAGATTGCGAGAGAGAGAAAGAGCGATATCAAGAGAAAGAGATAGAGAGAGGGATAGAGAGATAGAAGGAAGAGGGTGGTACAAATACCACTTTATTTACTCCCCTGTATTTCCTTTCTGCCACGGAGAGTGAATATAACCCTGCATGTGGTTTAAGACATCATGGTATATCTCCTTTGTGCACCTGCATGTTGAGACCAGTGATATACTGTAGGAGACTGGGCTTGTGCATCTTCTTGACACTCAGCAATAACAAACAGAGAACCAGCTGAATCCAGCTGGCCTACAATTCTAACTTTTCTCCTCATGTCTTCTCTGGCCTACCCATAGTCTCAATGGGGGTCGCTAGAGCCACACTTGAATAACTTCCGTCAAAATGACTAGAAGGGAAAGTCAGACATGTATACTGAACTAAAATATAAACAAAACATGTACAGTGTTGGTCCCATGTTTCATGAGTTGAAATGAAAGATCTCAGACATTTTCCATACACACAAAAAGCTTATTTCTCTCAAATTTGGTGAACAAATTAGTTTACATCCCTGTTAGTGAGCATTTCTCCTTTGCCAAGATAATCCATCCACCTGACAGCTGTGGCTTATCAAGAAGCTGATTAAACAGCATGATTATTACACAGGTGCACCTTGTGCTGGGGACAATTTTATTGACAGGAATCTGAATGCACAGAGATACCATTGTCGTGCCATTCATCATGACAATGCACGGCCCCATGTCGCAAGGATCTGTACACAATTCCTGGAAGCTGAAAATGTCCCAGTTCATCCATGGCCTGCATACTCACCAGACATGTCACCCATTGAGCATGTTTGGGATGCTCTGGATCGACGTGTACGACAGCGTGTTCCAGTTCCCACCAATATCCAGCAACTTCGCACAGCCATTGAAGAGGAGTGGGACAACATTCCACAGGCCACAATCAACAGACTGCTCAACTCTATGCAAAGGAGATGTGTCGCGCGGCATGAGGCAAATGGTGATCACACCAGATACTGACTGGTTTTCTGATCCACGCCCATACCTTTTTTTTAAGGTATCTGTGACCAACAGATATATATCTGTATTCCCAGCCATGTGAAATCTATAGATTAGGGCCTAATTTATTTATTTCAATTGACTGATTTCCTTATATGAACTGTAACTCAGTAAAATCTTTGAAATTGTTGCATGTTGCGTTTATATTTTTGTTCAGTGTCATTTCTATGGAAATATGGACCATTATCTTGAAAGAAAACAAGTAATAATGTTTCATGGATGGTCTGAGAGCGGATAGAGGATAGGTCTCTGTCTGTCTCACGCATACAGATGGGAACACTATCAATATGGCAACAGACAGAATACATGCAAAGAACAAATTATTCACTGTCATAAGATCACACATTCACAGAGGATACAGAGATTCCCTGGCATGTAGAATGGATCCATCAATGAGTACATTAACCTTGAGGTTTGGTCTTACATTCATCAAGGTGCTGGAAGGGAGACAATCTTTCTGTTTTTGTCTCTCTCTCTCACACACACACACACACACACACACACACACACACACACACACACACACACACACACACACACACACACACACACACACACACACACACACACACACACACACACACACACACACACACACACACACACACACACACACACACACACACACACACACACACACACACACACACACACACACACACACACACTTTGAGGTGGATCTCATGTAAGGATGGTCCCAACGCAGTTGCTCTGAGCCTGGGTAAATATGTGCACATGTCTGGATGGTCGCCTCTCAAGACGGTGTGAATACCTGTAAAGGAGGCCAGCAGAGCCAAGGGGCTACTCTCTCATCCTCCAACCTGTCCACATTTAAGGTCTAGCCCATACCAATCTCCCAAACCTGTCTCCACCACTGACCTAAAATCACAGTGATGCTACAACCACACCTCCAGCTCATCAGTCCCATTACTCCTAATGTCACTCTGTCTGGACCCCAGAGTGGGAGGTCTCAGTAAATGAAGCCGGGGTTGAGTCCTCTGTCTACTTATGGAGAGACTACAGTATACTGCATGCTTACAGAGAGAGATGGTAAACAGAGGTAAGAAGTGAGATAACTTACAGACTCTGAAGCCCGGTCCCAGTGCAGCCCGGCCCCCATGTTCACTGTTGTAGAGAGTGGTCACATTGCCCTGCTCGCAGAAGTTGGTGCAGCGTCCCTGGGTGCAGCGCACCTTGCAGATGGTCGGGGTGAAGAGCACCTTGATGCGCTGAGATCCACTTCTTCCTGCCCCTGCTGCCGATCCTCCTCGGTGGCCGGTGGTCTGGTTGCTGGCTGGAAGGGGGAAAAAGACGAAGCAGAGGTAGAGCAGCGGTAGGAGCCTGAGCCTGGGTCTGAGCTGGAGCATGGTGCCGTCCGTTTACTGACGATGCATCCCAAGTAGAAGAGACACCACAGAGATCCACGAGAAGGGCTGCTGCGCACGGCAAGAAGAGATGTGAGAGAAGCAGAGGGGAAGACCAAGGAACTCCACCCTTACTCTTACGCTTCTTTCAATCACACTCTCTCGCTCTCTCTCTCTCGCAACTGGCGCAGGACGAGGAGGGTAAGGAAGAAAGTGGGAAAAAAAAAGAAAAACAGACCCAACGCTTCCCTTCCTTTTTTCCTGAATACACCAACCACAGAAATTAGGATCTTTGAGGAGGGAAGCACGTGCAAAAAAAATAAAACTTTTAGGAAAAAGTGCCTGTCCACTTAATTGGAAGCAGTATAGCGAGAATGCTCTGGGCGAGCCTCCAAACACAATGTTTATAAGGGATCCAATCCATCACCCTGTACTGGGAACTCTTCACTACGGCCCCTGACCCGCTCTCTGTGCCCTGCCGTTATGCTGCAACTGTAATCTGTTTTGTTTCCCCCCTTTTCCTTGTACTCCCCCCTCTAGTTTCATAACATGGACCGTTCTGTCATCTGAGGAAGAGACCACAAGGAGGGGGGTGGTGGGGGGGTGAGGCAAGGTTTGAGTTTCAGGTCCTCGCTGGCATTATAAACTGTGGTGGTGAAGTCATCGCTCTCTCTCTCTCTCATTCTGCTCATAACGGAGCGGGGAAGAGGAGGGAAGTTATTTTTCTTTCACTACGCACTTTTAGAGATGTCATTTCACTAGTCCCACAGGCTCTTCCGTGACATACACAATGTGCATTAAACCTGTTGCTTTACCGAGCCAGCTCATTCCTGAGCAACAGGGGAAAGAAACGTGCACGTGCCATCCACGTGCATCCACGTTGCACTGGCTCACATCAGACTTACCACTTTAAGCACAACTAGGGTGAAATCACCTGAGAAAACTATTGGAGACAAATGTTAAATAATCCTTTTATGGTCATTCATGGTTATAAACCACAGAAACATCCCAACCCGATTCGAAAAGGAAGGTTGATGGAAATTATTTAGCTAGGAAAAGAATGGTAAACAATGGAAAATAAAGAAACCAATTGACAAAGAGATTAATTGTAATGTTAAAGTTATGAGCTAAAACTGTATGGTCATTAGATTTACAAACATGACTTGTTCATTATATTCACTAATAATTAACCCCGAAACAAAGCTGAGCAGAAATTCCTTGTTGAGTTTGGAAGACAAACAGCTGCGTTGGACTGGGCTCAAACACAGGTGCCCCATTACAGCAATATCTCCAGTTTCACCAGTATAAAACCTGGAAGAGAGGAATGGGAGGACAGCGAGCGAGGCACGCGCCAGCCAACTTCACTAAGGCACTAGACCACATCAAAGGCTTGGTGAGGTTAAGTGCTGAGAGAATGATGTTTTACTTGAAGCTTATATGGATCATCAACACATCATGGAGAATTACCTAATTTACGTAACGGGAACGGACCAAGCTAGAACTTAGAGAGAAATCGGTTCTGTAACAGCTTCTCCTGGGTTCTGAAAGGAACTACAGGTACACCGGTACTATGGTCTCCCTGCCCCTCTGTTTTTTTAACAGCCCTTTGGCACTACACTGCTGGTCTGACCCGCACCTGTAGCTCAACTTGGCCCGGCCCAGAGTGGTGAGTCATTCTGGGCCAAGACTGGGAGGTAGGATACATTGCCAGAAAGAGAGAGAGAGGGAAGGGCCTTGGCGTAGGCTAGGATACACAGTAAATTACCATGCTACCGCTGGGACGAGCCGTCTGGGTCTGGACTGTGGGTTCCTGTCTTGCTGGGGGAGGAGGAGGTATTGGTGTCTGCTCAGGACAGGTGTTGTTCACAACGATTTCTAGTACGAGTCAATGAGGTCACAGCAGGTTTTTTTGTTTTGTTTTTGTTTTAGGGGGTAGATCAGCTTTAATATTGCAGATAGATTGTAACTTCCATCAATGTAATTGTCTGCATCACTTCCAATCCACCATATGTTTTTTCTCTGCATATATATATATATATATATATATATATACAGTGGGGAAAAAAAGTATTTAGTCAGCCACCAATTGTGCAAGTTCTCCCACTTAAAAAGATGAGAGAGGCCTGTAATTTTCATCATATGTACACGTCATCTATGACAGACAAATTGAGGAAAAAAATCCAGAAAATCACATTGTAGGATTTTTTATGAATTTATTTGCAAATTATGTTGGAAAATAAGTATTTGGTCACCTACAAACAAGCAAGATTTCTGGCTCTCACAGACCTGTAACTTATTATTTAAGAGGCTCCTCTGTCCTCCACTCGTTACCTGTATTAATGGCACCTGTTTGAACTTGTTATCAGTATAAAAGACACCTGTCCACAACCTCAAACAGTCACACTCCAAACTCCACTATGGCCAAGACCAAAGAGCTGTCAAAGGACACCAGAAACAAAATTGTAGACCTGCACCAGGCTGGGAAGACGGAATATGCAATAGGTAAGCAGCTTGGTTTGAAGAAATCAACTGTGGGAGCAATTATTAGGAAATGGAAGACATACAAGACCACTGATAATCTCCCTCGATCTGGGGCTCCACGCAAGTTCTCACCCCGTGGGGTCAAAATGATCACAAGAACGGTGAGCAAAAATCCCAGAACCACACGGGGGGACCTAGTGAATGACCTGCAGAGAGCTGGGACCAAAGTAACAAAGCCTACCATCAGTAACACACTATGCCGCCAGGGACTCAAATCCTGCAGTGCCAGACGTGTCCCCCTGCTTAAGCCAGTACATGTCCAGGCCCGTCTGAAGTTTGCTAGAGTGCATTTGGATGATCCAGAAGAGGATTGGGAGAATGTCATATGGTCAGATGAAACCAAAATAGAACTTTTTGGTAAAAACTCAACTCGTCATGTTTGGAGGACAAATAATGCTGATTTGCATCCAAAGAACACCATACCTACTGTGAAGCATGGGGGTGGAAACATCATGCTTTGGGGCTGTTTTTCTGCAAAGGGATCAGGACGACTGATCCGTGTAAAGGAAAGAATGAATGGGGCCATGTATTGTGAGATTTTGAGTGAAAACCTCCTTCCATCAGCAAGGGCATTGAAGATGAAACGTGGCTGGGTCTTTTAGCATGACAATGATCCCAAACACACCGCCCGGGTAACGAAGGAGTGGCATCATAAGAAGCATTTCAAGGTCCTGGAGTGGCCTAGCCAGTCTCCAGATCTCAACCCCATAGAAAATCTTTGGAGGGAGTTGAAAGTCCGTGTTGCCCAGCGACAGCCCCAAAACATCACTGCTCTAGAGGAGATCTGCATGGAGGAATGGGCCAAAATACCAGCAACAGTGTGTGAAAACCTTGTGAAGACTTACAGAAAACGTTTGACCTGTGTCATTGCCAACAAAGGGTATATAACAAAGTATTGAGAAACTTTTGTTATTGACCAAATACTTATTTTCCACCATAATTTGCAAATAAATTCATAAAAAATCCTACAATGTGATTTTTTTTTTTTTTTTTCTCATTTTGTCTGTCATAGTTGACGTGTACCTATGATGAAAATTACAGGCCTCTCTCATCTTTTTAAGTGGGAGAACTTGCACAATTGGTGGCTGACTAAATACTTTTTTTCCCCCACTGTATATATACACACACACACACACACACACACACACACACACACACACACACACACACACACACACACACACACTACCGTTCAACATTTTGGGGTCACTTAGAAATGTCCTTGTTTTCGAAAGAAAAGCAATTATTTTGTCCACTAAAATAACATCAAATTGATCAGAAATACAGTGTAGACATTGTTAATGTTGTAAATGGCTATTGTAGCTGGAAACGGCTGATTTTAAATGGAATATCTACATAGGCGTACAGAGGCCCATTATCAGCAACCATCAGTCCTGTGTTCCAATGGAACGTTCTGTTTGCTAATCCAAGTTTATCATTTTAAAAGGCTAATTGATCATTAGAAAACCCTTTTGCAATTATGTTAGCACAGCTGAAAACTGTTGTGCTGATTAAAGAAGCAATAAAACTGTTATTCTTGAGACTAGTGGAGTATCTGGAGCATCAGCAATTGTGGGTTTGATTACAGGCTCAAAATGGCCAGAAACAAATAACTTTTTTCTGAAACTCGTCAGTCTGTTCTTGTTCTGAGAAATGAAGGCTATTCCATGCGAGAAATTGCCAAGAAACTGAAGATCTCGTACAACGCTGTGTACTACTCCCTTCACAGAACAGCGCAAACTGGCTCTAACCAGAATAGAAAGAGGAGTGGGAGGCCCCGGTGCACAACTGAGCAAGAGGACAAATATATTAGTGTGTCTAGTTTGAGAAACAGACGCCACACAGGTCCTTAACTGGCAGCTTCATTAAATAGTACCCGCACAACACTAGTCTCAACGTCAACAGTGAAGAGGCGTCTCCGGGACGCTGACCTTCTAGGCAGAGTTGCAAAGAAAAAGCCATATCTCAGACTGCCCATCTTAATCTTTTCTTTTTATTGGCCAGTCTGAGATATGGCTTTTTCTTTGCAACTCTGCCTAGAAGGTCAGCATCCCGGAGTCGCCTCTTCACTGTTGACGTTGAGACTGGTGTTTTGCGGGTACTATTTAATGAAGCTGCCAGTTGAGGACCTTTACCTTTCCATGGTATCAAGATCTTATCTATTTTTGCTAACTTTCTATTAAAATGTATTGGAGTGAGATCATTTATTTATTTTGGATATGTTTTCCGACTATATCCACATCACCATCAGACCATTTTATTGGTAAACTACACGGTAATATAAAAATTTTATTTTTTGTGATCCAATACGTAATATAGTACATTCATCATAATTTGGTTGTAATCCAGAGAGGTTAGAAAATGTATCTAGATCCTCTATGAGGCTGTGGAGGGATTCAAGTTGTGGATTTAAAAGAAAACATGAATCATCAGCGTACAATGACACCTTTGTTTTTAAGACC